ACCCCTGGTGAGTTAGGAATATGAGCTAGAAGTTATTTTGGATGTAAGTTCTAGGCTCTCTTTTGTTATTCAAAAACATAGCCAAATTTGGCATCGACTTACCATGGCTATAGAAATGCTAGGAAGAAGCTGATATATAACAAAGACAATGGGTTGTAACCATCATTCGAAATGAGCCAAAGGGTGTACAGTCTTGGGGACCCTCAGTACATGGCATAGGAGGTCTGAACTTTGAAAGGCACAGAGACGGGAAAGGATTAGTGAGTTCTTCTGGGAAAGTGAAACTTGTGATGCCCACAGCAGGCATGATGTCCTCACCTCTCTCCCTGTAGCAGGACTATCTCAGCATCTACCCAGGATGAAAACAGGCATGGGAAGCAGAATTATTATTACTATTTTTTAGGATTTATTTTTATTTTAAGTGTTTGTGTTTTGCCTGAGCATATGTAAGTGCACCATGTGTGTGCAGTGTCCGTGGGGGCCAGAAGAAGGCGTTGGATCCTCTGGAACTGGAATCACACATGGTTGTGAGCTGCCATGTGGGTGCTGGGAACTGAACCCAGGTCCTTTGGAAGAGCAACCAGTGCTCTTAGCCCCCGAGCCACTGTGGAAGCAGGAGTATTTTACCCGGAGAATTTTTCGTTGAGTCTAGCCATTCACTCACTGAGTCTAGAGAAAACACATAGGGTTTTTCAGAGCTGTTAAGACAACAGCTAGGGTTTCTGTAGACCACTGCCATTGTAAAGGCACACCACCATGCTACACACATCACACCGTTCTTACCTTTCCCCTGCTTACTCAAAAGAACTGTGCCATTCTGGTTTTCTTGCTGCCTTGGACTTGTATAGGAGAACAAACTGAGAAGCATACTTCTCTGTGAGGCAAACCACTCTCAGAATTGTTTTAGTTTCTGAAAGTGCATCTGAGGTCATTTTCATAGTATTGTAGTGATGCTCACCACTTCAAGAACAAGTCTTTCAACAAGTCTTTCACACGAGTAAGCTTGTTTTCTACATTAGTGAAACTGAGCTTTAAAACTACTGGTTAGGGAATGCTTGGCAGTGGCTATTGAGTCACTGAATCAAAAACATCCAAATTTGCTGATGTTGTGAGCAGGAGCCACGCAGGAGCCATGCCTTGTATCTAATTGGAAGTTGGCAAGATAGTGGGAAGCCATAGCCTCTGTTGGGCTGCGCCAAGTAAGACCGTGCTGTAACTCTCACCCAGAGGGACACTGAATCACTAGAACATACATGCTAGGGTTTCTTCCTGGTTCACAGTTCTGAAGAAGCAAAGAAGAGCCCCACACCATGAACACAACCATGGGTGAGTGGGAGACTTGTAAGTACATCCTTCTCCAGAATTCCCTCTAGGTAAGACTCCAAGACCCAGCGGACACCCTGACTTTGGTGACATAAAATCAAACAAAAACAAAACACATGTACACACACACACACACACACACACACACAAAACAAAACAAACAAACAAAAAAAAACCAAAAACCAAAAAAAACAAAAACAAAAACAAAACAACAACCCAAAACAAAACTCCTGACCCGCAGAAACCACAGGGCAAAGATGTGTTCTCCTTGTAGCTGCTAATTTTGTAGTAGCTAGCATGTAAACATGTGGGGAAATATTTACCCAGGCACCAAGGGCCTGGGAGCCAATAAACCCTTGCTGGCCTAAACCGGACTATCAGAGCATGCAGTATGTAACTTCACCAAATTGAGCCAACCTAGGTCTGCCAAGGGAGCCCCCAGCAACTGCTGCCGTGCCATGAGATAAGACAACCTGAACCAGTCTCCAGCCTCCCTGAGAGACCCTGATGCCACCGTTGCTGTTTCCCCTCCCCAGGGTGGGTGAAATTCATTTCTCACACTTGTATGACCGGCAGGCATTTTACCCGCTGAGCTATAAATCCCCAGCTCTGATTTTATTCTTTAAGTCAGAAAGTTAGGTGTCATGTCTCCCCCTCCTCAACCCAGCTCCGCCATGTGAGGAACGTGCTGTGACTGAGCAGCTGGAAGAAGCCATACAGGCTTTTCAACACCCAGTGTCTCATTCATTCAACCGTGGAGCTGACACCCAGAAGAGCGGTGTTTTCTATTTTGAATTTTTTCCATGTAACATTTTGTATTGATTCTTTGAGAATTTCACATCGTACACCCCAGTCACACTCATTTCCCAGTCCTTCCATGTCTGCCTGCAGCCTTGTGACCACCCTGCCCTTTTAGTAGAACTAGTCCTTCTCACCCCGGCCAGAAGCCATCAACTGTGGAGACAAGTGTCCTTGCCACACTTTTTGAGTTCTCTTCGATGGCTTCCTGCCTAGGCTGTTCCTTTTTTTTTTTTATTTTTTGGAGAAGGGTAGGGGTGGGGATAGGGGGGTTGTCACAGAAGTCTTCCTTGTCCTTCTTTCTCAACAGTGTGTCTGCACCGTCAACATCACAGCCCAAAATATCTTCCTTATAAGAGCAGTGGTTCTTGGCTACACTGAAGTCCCTTTTCTCATAAAACTTACAATGAGAGCCTGTAATGCTCTTGTGTAGCCATTGCAGGTAACTGGATATTTACATAAATGAATTTTGATATCATCCCCATCCCCTGCAAGGTCTGCATACCGTAGGCCTGAATGTGTGAATCTCTCCAACCCTCACTAGAAAGGACTGCTCTATGCTTCAGCTGGATGTGGACTTTGGTGTAATGCAAATGTGAACTCTGGGCTAAGTCACACAAAACCGAAATCATTCCACATGGAAAATGACAGCTTTCAATGCATTTGCCATTTTTATTTCGCGATGCGGTAACATCATTCACAACGTGCTGTGATGCAGCTGACTGCAATGGAGAATGTATCTTTCTGGAGGCTATTTATAACTAAACGCTAAACAGTTAATTACAGTGGAAATTCTGTACAATTTAAGGCTTGGCTCTGAACTAGGTTGTAAATATGGACCAGATTTGTAAATAAAATACCTTTTTTTTTTTTGTTGTTCAAGTAAAAGAAGAAAAAATCAATGAAAAAAAACACAAGGAAAAGAAAAACAACAAAGCAAAAGTAGTCCGACAGGTCTTCCTGGAGTGAATTTTCATAATATTGTAAACTAAAAAAAAAAATACAGGTTTTCCTCCTCAAACAGTGATAATTTACATAGTGAAGGTTTGCTTAGGTAATTCCAGGAATCATTCTGGATTTGAACGCAGACCAGAGCGAATGACGAGGAAGAAATTACTTCAATGTGCTAAAAATCAGTTCTACCTTATAACAAATTTGAGACACAAAGCAAGATTGTTAAGTATTTCTAGAGGGTCAGAGAGTCATTACTGCTTTATGGGTGAGAATAAGAAAACCAGATTAGACAAGGACAAGATTCAAGTCATTTACTGAATAAAGTTGGTTATTGGCACATCTAATCTGGGGTAAATCTGACAGACCGGACCTAGACGGCTGATAGCATTGTAGGGTAATTAACATTTATTTGTAAACAGAGAATTTGTCACCTATGGAACTGCGATTTTTTGAGACTTTAATAATAAACTATGAAAGGTATGAATTTGTGGATGTCTTACATGAGATCACGGTTTACACTGTTGGTTATGAACGTGCAGGTAGAGTTGAGAACAGATATTTTGGTGAAAATTAAAAGTGCGGCTCTTTTGTGATTTTTTATCATTGCTTCATGCAGTATCAGTTCAGTGGTGCTGATTCGGATTGCTTTATTATGGGAAGATCTCTCTGCCAGTGTCTTTCATTAATGGTCAAGGTCAGTTCTTCTGGAATTTTCCACGGACAGATGCAAGTCAGTTGGGTTAGAAGAGGGAACTCCACACAGGCTCCGGTTTTCCTAACGGTTTACGTGAAACCGTTCATGTGCAAGCTAAGTTAATCCTGTGGGAAGAAAGGTTCCGTTAGTTTCTCATTTGAAAACATCCGCGTAGGTACAAAAAGTACCATGGACATTAAAAGGCTCATCCCAGCAGAAAGCTGTTACGTTTGCAGCATACAATTACATCACCCAAGTGGCCGCAGCCCATTGGAGAAAAAAAAAATCTTTTTTTTTCCTCTCTCTAACTTTTGTTTTCATTGTTCAAGAATCCTACTAATTTGAATCTGAGTTTAGCATTTACTTTTTCTTGTTTCTTGTTCCTGAACCAAAGTGCTTCAGGAACAGATCTGAACAACCTCTCTTCAATGTCTCACTTCTAGAAGCACCTGTGGAAGTGGCTACACCCACACTCAGCATTCACAGTCCACCTAGGGATGCGCGTGGCCACCTGAGTTCCTGCTTGGCAGGTCAGTGTACGTGACAAGGCTGTGCACACAGAGTCTGCTCAGGATGCTGGCCACACAGTCCGGCAAGGCATGCACTTTCAGGAGGAAAATGGGGCCACAAATCTGTATTTTTGCCTCCCCTTGGGGCAAAACAGTATAGGATGGGGAAAGTCACTCACAGGATACAGGAAATATAAGGCATTCAAAAAGACAGTTAGTGCCCAGCCAGCCTGAAGCAGAGACACTGTCTTGGAAGAGCACACTTCCAAGGGATGACGCTGTCGTCAAAGCATGAACGAGGGTGGCTAATTTCTCTACAAGTGGGAGCACAAACTATGCTTTTCAGAAGAGCCGGCTTTAGTGTTTTTATTAGGCCACATGGCAAGTGAAACCAAATTTGATTTCTCAAATTTGGGTAATGAGAAGAAGGTAAAGCCCAGATGAAAAAGAGCAGCAGAGAGACCAGGCAAGCAGGGACCCTGCCTTCCCTTCTCCTCTAACTGGCGTGGGTGTGCAAACACAGCTCTGAGGAGGGAATCTCCACAGCAGAGGCACCCCAGCACCCACAAGCAGTTTTCCATCTTCTCGATAGCCAGCCCCACAAATGCCAGTGAGAGGACAAAGGAGAGGGGAGAATGAGGCTAAGGGTGGGGAGGGAAGTGCCCCATGCCACATGCTAGCTGAGGCAAGCCTAGAGAATCAGCGTCACCTCTTACCTCTGGTCAATCCTCTCCATCTTCTGGTGTGATTTCTGTCTCTTTATGGACCACTACTTTGGTCACTGACATGTCGGGGTGCTGCTCTTTGGCCTCTTTAATTGCCTGAGCCAGCGCCTATCCCCAGGAAATCACAGAAGGGCAAAAACAAAAAGGAGGTGGGACATGCGTGAGCAGCAGCAAGGTGAGTCTTAGGAGCTAATCTATCCCCACAGTTAACAATGAGGCACACTGATTACACAAGGGCTCAAAGCCATATACTGGAGAGTTAATTCAGAAACTACTGTAGAGTACATCCTGATCTAGAAGATTAGCACTGGGAACCAAAGGGCCAGTGTGCTCACATTGACTTCTCTGTCAGTGGGTTTACTGTCTCACACGCTACCTACCTGGTCGTGGTCGATGTCAGCATCTCCTGTGATCACTATTCGTTTCTCGATTCTCGTCTCTGAAATACCTCCTTTCACAGTCTGAAGGACATAGGAAAGCACCGTGAGTTACTCACCAGGGTAATGGCAGGGGGTGGTGGCACTGTGAAGCCCCACAGTTCTCCCACTTAGTTCTCCCAGAACTAAGTCTACCATAGGCATTCAACATGCTTATTTCCAAAAGCAGAGTTCTTTGGGTTTAGCAGACCCAGTTCCTATGATATCTACTCTACGCTAGGCCCACCCCAGGGTGAGCATCAGGGACACCAGTATTGAGAAATAAAAGGAGCTTACGATAAGGATATCCTTTATTAGAAAAACACCAGCCAAACGAAAGCCAGAGCGTGTCAGGGGCAGCAAGGCAGGGAGGCCAGAGAGAAGGGGCTCCCATGTGCCTTGCAAACCCTTAAAACCCTATCATTTGTCATCCTGACCTCATCTTGACCACGCCCTAACAGGCGTGGCCAGGCACACCTGTAGCCAGCTTTTAGCAGGTGTGGCTTACACTGTCCCCTACAATTCCCCTTTTAGTCTAAAAGGATGAGGTCAGGATGTCAGAGGTTTTGATGATTGGTGCCCTTCTCCATCAGTCAAAGAGTAATGCTTGTGGATGTTTGTTCCACTTACTTTGGTGATGTGTGTGGTGGTGGTGGTACTCGTGGTTTCAGATGTGATTGTCTGTGCACTCATCAGCACACCTGGCTCCAGGTCTGCCCCAGGGTCAACCTAAGCAGGGACAGGAACACACATAGCACACGGGTGTGGTTGCATTTACTCTCCATAGGACTGTTCCATTCTTTAATACCATACTGTGACTGAGTGGACACAGCCCTCCCCATAAGAAGACCCAATCAACCACAGATGGAAAACACTCAGGAACTATTTGCAGCCAGACTGAACGTGTTCAGATGTTTGCTAAACATCGGAGTGTAGCAACCACCAGCATTGCATTTACATCGTGTAAGGTAGTGTAAGTCATCCAGAGATTATTTAAACTATAACATGTCCACATGTTATAAGGTAATGTTATACTATTCCAACCAAGGGATTGGAGCATCCACAAATGTGGGTATCCATGGGAAACCTGGAATCCTCAGAAGGAACAATTGCTTCCCACACTCGTAGCCCAATTCAGGTAGAACATGGGAGCTCTTGGAGTAAACTTTAGGCAAAGCTGTAGGCAAGGAGGGTTAACAAACTGAGATGTTATAAATGTGACTAGTGGGTGGCTTAAGCCTCTTTCTTATCCATAACTGCAACCTAGGTCTCTGAGACTTGCCTATGTGAAGGCTGTCTAAAGCCTCGGTTAATCACCGTGGCTCCACAATCGGTAATAAAACCATGGCAGTGCACTGTTCTTGACAGAGATGGTTTGGATGCCGATCCTTACAGCCTCTTGGACTGGTACTGTGTAGTTGAATGCAAGAAGCCCTAGATCTGCCAGGTCTCCGGTCTTACCTGTGATGACTCATATGTGATGGTTTTTGTTTCTGTGTGAACTACTGGCACTTCCTTGGTAGAGATCTCTAGCTTCACTCCTCCTGGAGAAACACTGCCCACACTCACGGTCTCCATCTTCACAGTGGAGGACTGTATCAGTGGGAAGCAAGGGGGAGGGGTTATCAAGGCGTATACGCAGTTTGGACTTCTCTCTCCTCCTGGTGTCTTTGCTATTTTTGCTCATAACAAAAGTTTCTGTATTAAACGAGGAGGAGGTAAGACAGGGATCATGACACACAACAAATCTACACCAGTCTCACTAGATTATACCGAGCAGTTGACATAGGATTCCCGAGGCAACAGAAACATTTTAAAGGGGATTAAAAACGATCTGTCCCTTCTTCTCCATCTCATATGCAAACACTGACATAGATAAACCTATAAACAAGCTTTTAAGTTAGTAACCAAGAAAGATGAGGCAAGAACCAAATCATCGTTCTCCACCCACCAACCTGTGGAATATCTCGGTAAAGGGTGATAAAGAATAAAGTTCTGGGAGTTGGAGGAATGCTTTCTGGTCCTTCTAGGAAAGTAAGTGGATCAGAAATAAATGTCAAGTTTTCTTCAAAAAATATTTTACTATTATCGTTGTTGTTGTTGTTGTGTGTGTAAGTCAGAGAACAACTTTCAGAACTTGGCTTCCACTGTGGGTTCCAGGGGTTGAACTCAGGTCATCAGGCTTGTGTGACACTGTGAGCCACCGGGCTATCTTTGTGGCCCTCTAAAGTAGCTATTCATTGGCTCCCTGTGTTTTCTGTCAGTTATAATTTCAATGACAGAAACCACTTCCTAGAACTATACATCATCAGTACTTGATTTTTATATTTCTATGTGACCCCCAAACCTGGAAACAAGCCTGGAGACCCCTTCACTGCTGTGCAAAGTAAAAGATCAGAGAGGAAAGCCAGAGGCCCGTGCACGATGAGGCGTGAAGTTAAATGAAGCACCACTTCTGTTTTTCTCTAACTCTCAGGGTATATCACCTCTGAGAGTAACAGTAACTACCATTTACCTCAAAATGAGACTTTTGTTCCAAAGCCTCAGAAGGGTGCGTGGCTGCCACCTGCTCCTCCTCATGGGAGACTGTGGCTGGCTGTTCCTGCTCGGGGACAGATTTGTCAGCCTCCTCTCCTCTCTCTTCCTTAGCTGCTTCTGTCACAGAACAGCCCTCCTTCCCTTTCGCACTGTGAAGATCTGAGGGTGTGGTCTCTGCTGTATCCACGGCATCCCCGGCTGTGTGACAAGCATCTCCACTGCCTTGCACACTCTCGATGCGCCTCTCCTCCGCCAACACGGTTTCCTGCAGCACCTTCTCAGTGCTGAGGGGCTGGGAGTGTGGGGTCAATTCCACCTCAGTTTCGATGGACTCTGTCTTTGTTTCCAGTTTCTGTATGGGAAGAGTACAGTGTCTGAGTGACTTCCATAAACCCAAACAACAAACTCCCCAAGGCGGCTACTCACTATGAGGTTCAAAGCTGGCATCAAGAGCTCATATGCATGGACGCTGACGGCAGTAAAAATAAGCTTTCATTCCTCCCACTAGCTTTGCTCTCTCTCTCTCTCTCTCTCTCTCTCTCTCTCACACACACACACACACACACACAGGGACCTGCACAGCTTTCTCAGAGCAATGGCGAAAGAAACAGGATGCAATAAAGCACACGAGCAGAGGAGAAAGAAAGGGCGTTCTGCTGCACGTTCACCGTGGCTTTGAATGTGTGCCCTTAGACTGGACGGATGAGACGAAATGTTTCTAAAGATCAAGAGCCATTAAAATCTCCTAACGCCATTGCTTTTGAGCAAAGGAAGCCCGTTCTCAAAGTGGAATGGAAGGTCCACAACAGACAGGCACATGCAGTGGCAGGAAGAACAGTCACCGGGGACTGCTCTGAGATGCAGGAAGGCAATGCCACTTGGATGCAAGACACAGGCACACACACCCGCCACATGCTCACAAAGCAAAGCAAACGGGCACAGTCACAAACACCAAGGACGGGAGGGAATGGCCACCTGCACCCAGCTCTGGGTAGTAGATGAAACCCCTCCTATGAACTCTGTGGGTTTCCGGGCCGACTCTAACAGACTGAGGATCTCCGAGCCATCCATGAGTTTCTCCCCAGAAGACTGTTTAGTCTGAGTGAACAAAGAAACGAGAGTCAAGCACGAGAGACGCCCCAGACATGCACATGTTCGCAGCTTGCTAGACAAAACCGGAGGCAGAGGAAAAAAGGAAGGAGGAATGAAGGAGTCCATGTACAGAGCTTGGAAACAGAAAGGAATGGGGGCATAACACAGCAAACTAGGTGACCATGAGCCCTCGTGTGCTAAAGCAGAGAGTTATCACGTTCAGGGTGGCGTCGGTTTAAGCAGGTCACTTCCCACCGACCCTCCACCCCTCCCCTCCAATTGCAAGCCACAGCGCGCCTTATCACGAATCTTGGGAACGGGCAGCTAGAAATAAAAGGGGGAAAAGTGTTTTTAATGCTGATTTGGGGCTGCAATATTGATTTAATCATGGGAAGAAGAAAAAAAAAAAAGCTGGGTTCGCTGCTGCTCTCAACATAAAGTCAAGCGGCCAGAGAAACGGAAAAGGTTCAGGGTGGAAGGGCGCTGTTGTAAAAAAAAATGTCATGCTGGAATCTTAAGCTGTGACCGAATGAGAGCCACTGGTTACCACCACTTGGGATGCAGAAGACTCGGTGACATAGTGGGCAGTAGCCACGGTAAAGGCCGGCTCCTGGGAGTACCGCCACTCAGACAGGCTCTTCCTGCGTGGGCCAAAGGGCCCCACCGTCAGCACCTCGCATTCGGCCCCCTGCTGCGGTTTGCCGAACCGGGGGTGGGCAGGTGCACCCTCTCCCAGCTTTGGTGCCTTCTGGGTGTCATCTTCCTCGGGGCTTTGCCGGCGGGATTCGGCTTCCTTGATGGGCGCCAGGGATTCTGACAATCTCCGCTTCGGGGTGTGGACCTCGGGTCCTCTTCTGGATTTCTCATCAGCCAGGGATTCCAGGACCTCGTATTCCACCAGCAGGGGACCGACCTTCTCTGCAGCGCCTCTCTCTGTCTTCTGCCAGCCTTCCAGCGAGGAGGGCTGTGCGACCTTCTCCCCCTCTTTAGCTTTCCCAGTCATGGTGACAATTCTGCCAGAGACGGTGTCGTAGGATTTCCCCAGAGTGTACATCTTCTGCGCGTTCTCCTCCTTCAAGTGCATTTCTCTGGCCAAGTCATCGAAGCCATGCATGTCAATCATGCTAGGTTTTAGCAAGTCAGCCGGGATCTCACCGGTTTTACTGCTCACAGTTACCACCTTGTAAGTGACAATCTTTTTCGAATCACCATCAACTACCTCAGTGGGTATTTTGTCTACAATAACCCAATCCTCTGTGCCCTATATTCAAAATATAAAAGCTAAATTAGAAAAGCTGGTGGTATATAAAAGCTGGTTGTCTATAAAATAAGAACCCTTTTTAAAAAATGCAGGGCATAAACTATACCGGGGCATGGGGTAAGACTGAAGCAAAGGGTGGCTGCTATCATCTAACAGTTATGGCTGGAGTCCCCTCTCACCAGAAATCTAATTTCAACCCGGAATACATCCTGTGGGGGTGGCATTGAAATCTCATGTTTCTTTAACTAGGAACATATCTTGGCAATGAATTTTATAGGAGACCTATTTGACCTTGTGCTTGGCAGCTTGGTTGCATTTTATCTTAAGACTGGATGTTATAAGTGAACTACTCAGGCTCACACATGTAGCACAAAAGACTGTTATCCTTGTTTGCTGTCACACAATGCTTCCCATACTGGTATTTTCACAAGGAAGTTGAAGGTGTTCTCCAAGTTTCTGTAAAGACCATTTTTTTCCACATGTGCAAATTTGTTTCCTTATCTAGGGAAGCCAATTCACGACTACACTTAGTATCAAAGCATATTGAGTGCGCCCATATTCAAGGTATGGCAACGGAATTTCCCCTGATGAGACACTACTGATCTGGATCCCTTTAAAATAAGAGTTGGAGGTCCGTGGAGTGTTCTGTTCTTAACTAGACCTGCAGTTCGATGTTTCAGTAATTTCTCTCCCACTTTCTTTAGCATTAGTTCCAACAAGGCAGAAGAACGGTAAGAAACCTTGGCCTACAGGAGAGATAACTGGATGTCCTAGGCTAATGGCTAACCAGCTTACCAGGTTACAGAAAGGAAGGGAGACCACACCAGAGTAGATGACATTTGGTTTTATGTTTTCTACTTATGGTATCCTGAAAACTTGAATCTAGATATATGTTTGTGTTAAGCAAAATAACTGCAGGTTGATCTACATGCTGGCATTGGACTAAAAGATATGAATTGAAAAAAATAACCTCTAGGGTCGACGGGACAGTTTTCTGGAAAATTAATTGATGAGAAGTAGCCACAGAATCAGTAGAGACGCCTTCCCGCATTTTCGTAACCACACTTGGCTAGCAAGAAAACCAAAGTAAGTTCAGAGCATTCAAGAAACCAGTCAAAGTCATTAAAAAATAGTAGAGGTCTTAGATGGAAAGGGACAGTGGGGACTTTCGGGAGATTACCACAAGCATACCCAAAGCTTCAATGGTAATTTTTATCACATAGAAGTCATAAGCATTACATAATTAACCACTAGCATACTGAGAAAAATCTCATTTCCCAAATCTAAGCAAATTAGCACACCCACCTTAGCTTTAAACCAGAAAAACTAACGAAGTGAAAACCAGACACTCCAGGGTGAAGAATAGCTCCGTGTTTGCTTTTTTACCTGAGACTCAAGGAATGGTGAACTTCCTTGCTGTAAAAATACAACTCTCTCAGAAATCTCTCTCTCTTCTTTGGTCTGTTTAAACAAAGGGGGTTGGAGAAGAGGGAGTAGACATTTTTCCAGAAAGATGAGTTAGGAAGCCAGCACTGTATTATATATGTATTCACAGTCATTCATGTTTGCCTTGAAGAATTACTCATTTGAAAGAAGATCTAGAGCCATTTCAAGTTTTAACAATCATCTCTAAATGGGCAATGTTATCTTCTGAAATAGATGCTCACACAACTCAAGACATTTCCACAAATGCACACAGAGCATACAAGAGTGAGAAGAAGAGTTTCCTGACATTTCACTGGGCCTCTCTCATGTCCCTAATAGCAAGTCCTAAAAGAAAATGTGAATAAAATACTTTTAAAAGTAACAGAAGAAACGCTCACTTCTATTTCTAACAGGTATCCAACCATACTCTCACGCATATGCTATCTGGTAGTGAAGGAAGTGTATTCATGCTGGTTAGCTTTAACTGTCAACGTGATACAACTGGGGTCATTTGAGAAGGAAAAACTAGTGGGTGAATTCCCCAGACCAGACTGGCCTGTCTGCAGCTCTCTCTCTCTCTCTCTGTGTGTGTGTGTGTGTGTCTGTCTGTCTGTCTTGATTGTTAATTGTGTAGGTGGTAACATCCCCTAGGCAGATGGTGCTGGGTGGCATAAGAAAGACAGCTAAGCATGTGACTGCCAGCGAGTCAGCAGGCAACTTTGTCTATGGAGGCTACTTCAAGCTCCTGCTTGTATTCCTGCCCTGATTCCCTTCAGGGATGGACTATGAACTGGAACTGTAGGCCAAATAGACCCCTTGCTTCCCTAAGTTGCTTTTGGTCACAGTGGCTTTTAATTTTTATTTTTTATCACAGTATAGAAAGCAAACTGAAATACCATTCACTTGAATAAACCTAGTCATTTTTGAATAGACATCTTTGTTGGCCTAGAAGCAAACAGAAGTCAAATTTTATTTGAACTTTTATAATATGGTGAATAGTATTTTAAAGTTAATGTCAGATGACCTGAGTGGGAGCTTTAGATCAAACCATAGTTTTCTTTAATGTACATAATCAAGAAACATTGATTTCATTCTCGGACTTGGGAACCAGTGCTTGAGTTTTCAAGGGTCCCTTTGTCATTTTCTTTAGTACTAAATGTTCCTCATTCAAAGGGTAGTCCCACTTCTACCACTCCTGTCTCTGCAGAGCGTACAACTCCACACAGTAGGGATAGGAAGCATAGCTCTGAAATTAATCTAAAAGTGATGGAGTGAAATTCAAAATTTCTGGAAGAATAGAATTCTTTAAGCAAATCGTATCATTACAAACAACACACTTCTATGACAACTCCTTGGTGTTTAGGCCACATTCAGAAACATGTGTCAGTAACAGAAACAACTAACCTAGTGGGATAGGTTTGGAATTAAATTCTATACATGGTCTACCTCCCAACCTAACCAGTGCCTCTACTAAGGAAGTGACGGTTAGCCTACTAGTCATTTAGTAGGAACTACAATGAATTGGTTGCAGGGGAACATCTGGGACATTTTGTGGGACCTACTGTAAATTGTGACAACACTATTCCCAGATGATTTTCTCTAACAAGAGGTAAGTAACCCACTTTTGTAGGAGAGAAATAATTCCTATCTTGGAGGAGGACATTGCAATAGATGAAATTTACAAAAAATTATTAAATTCAGGCTTAAAACAAACACTTTCAGTAACAACCAACAGAAGTGAGGAACAAGGAAGAGAAGTTCAAAATTATAGGTGCTCTTCCAGCACCTCTAATTATAATCACCGAGATAAATGTTATCCCAAAGATAAAAGCCAGGCACTGAAACAGTGGTTTTCAGGAAGTCTCCTGCCTTAAAAAACTCGAAATTTTCAGACTAAGTGCCTGCTACTGGAACCATCAACTGGTCACATTTTGAACTGTGTGCCAACAACAGAAACATCTAACATAGGGGAATAGGTATAAAAAATTAAAGTCTATTCACGTCTACCTTCCAACCCAACCATTGCTTCTACTAAGGAAGTGGTGAGCTGCTGATAATTGAAGCCTCTAGACTGTGCCTCTATTACAGTTAAGAATATGGTCAAGTGTATATGCCAGCCATTCTATGTAGTCATTATATTACTCTGCAATATACTTGAGTTGCAAAGTCCTATTCAGGGATACAAAATGCATAACACTCATTTGCTCTTGGATTATTAAGGTTTTCTAATGATAATAATTGGTAGAGAATAGATAGATTGCATGTAAGTATAAAATGCTATAAATAATGGGAATCAACTGTAGTTAGTATCCATCTCAAAACTATCCTTGTTAAATACATACTATACCTATTAGGTTCACTATATTATACAGTGACTATACCTGTGAACTTACTGCTCACACGCAACACAGGACAATATTGTTACCACACAGGCATTAATATTGCTTTTTGGTTGGGATTTGGAAATTTTTTGGTATCCAAGTAACCACTAAAGAACATGGGTCTAAATGTGCCATATGCAAGGCCATTTTGGGAACCATTTGTCACAGAGAACATGCCTCTTTCACATGAGCTGATCTGTTTGTTAATGTTAACAAGGACTTGATTTCAGTCACTGCTTTGAGGATACCTCTGTTTGCTATTTATACAAACATTGGAAACCTGTAATCCCTGGCAATCAAAGTGTGACTTTATGTGTAGTTAACACATCAAATTCTCAGAATATAATCTTTATTAATTCACTACTTTTTAACTTTAGTATTTTTCTAATTGTTCATTCATGATAGCATTTTATAGAAGTAACAATTAGTATTCAATGACTACAGGTAAAAAGATGATAAAATTAAAAATCTGAAGTCATTACATTTTTTTCAAAATATAATTTTTCTTGAAGTTCATTTAAAAAAGACCCCAGAAACCAACTAAGCTGGAGGTCATAAAACTGAGGAATCTGAGTATCTTCCTGATTTGGACACAAAATAGTATTATTTTATTTGTGATGCAAATTTGAAAAATAAGTTGAGTATTTCTGTGTAGATACAACTGGGATCCTTTTTTACACTGGATAATTAAAGTGGCCCTATCAAATAACAGAGTGATACCAAGCAACTGAAAAATATCTCCCATTCAAAACAAAACCGATTGTTCATGAGTCTGTAAACCAATATGCTTTGCACATTCCTAGCTGGGGGCTAAAGAGATCATCTGCTTCTCACAAAGCCAGAAAGAAAAACCAGGGTCTAAATATAGAAACGGGGTTGACTTAGACAATGAGAATGCTTTCTTTGCTCTTATGGCTATCTATAGGGCTCCCAGCTGGACTATAAACTTGGATGTCGCTGACAACGGTCTAGCTCTAAAGAACACACGGGGATGTAGAGGTCACTCTGCCTGGCCCAGCTGTCTAGAGAGGCACAGGGCTTGGACCACGTGGAAACAGCTCGCATCTTTCAGGACGCAAATCGCCTAGCTTTTCTGGAACTCCCCTGTTGTCCGACCTCCATCGTTCTCCTGTTCACTCTACCCAGACAACGGCCTCCTGAGATTTCATGTGTGTATGATGGTGAGGACACATGGAATTCCTGCAGAGATGTGAGGGCCGCCACCCGCCCGCCACACTCCCTCTGCAGTCTGTCTGTGGACCTAAGTGGCCTTACCCTTTAACTACAGAGGGATGTTTTTATTTGGTTATCTTGGCTGACTCCATTGTTTGCACTGACTCAGAGACAGCACAGCCAGCCAGGGAACTTTCAGGCTGGTCAAAGTACAACCTCCTTCAATTATTGATTCAACACCATTCTCTAAGATTTAGGAGTAAAATGTCTTACCAGTCTTACAGTTTTGACATTTAACATCTTCATGCTTATTAACACCACTTAGTGCCCTAATTCTCTTTCAAAAAAGGCTATCATCTACCAGTTCCTTCAGCATCAGTACAGGGCTCTTGTTTTTAAACCTTGCTTTGCTTAAATGGTTATTTGTTTTGTGACTTTATAACTTAAGCCAGCTTCTAACATCTTTAGAGCCGAAACGTTGTTTCCAAAAGAGGTAACAGAAATAAAATCGTCTGGATTTGAAAATGACAATAAAATTTATGACATCATAATAGGTAAGTGACATTAAAAAATGTGTGTGTGTGACATTAAAAAATGGTGTGTGTGTGTGTGTGTGTGTGTGTGTGTGTGTGTATACAGCACTTGTGTGTACATGTGTGAGTGAGGGCATACATGTGCTCCAGTGTGTGCTTGGAGGTCCGAGGACAACCTTGGGTTTTAGTTCTTGTGTTCTACCATGCATGGGGCAGGATTTCTTGTCCTGCCTGTGCCAACTTAGGTGATTCCCTGGTCTCTGCCTCTTTTGGCAGCAGGTATGCTGGGGCTGCAGAGGCACACCACCACATCTGGCTTTCAGGGGAATCATTAAACTCTCCTATGATTGCATAGCAAACGCTTCATTCCCTGAGCCCCTTCCTTAGTCGATAGGTGCTATTCTTAATAATGCAAGGGCTGTAATGACTCAGTCACATTGAATGTTAAATTTTGTCTCCTGATACTTAAGCGATTTGAGTGGAGCTGGTGTTTAATGGTGCAGGGAGACTTGGGTAACAATACTTTTATTCATTCTGCCTAAAAAAGAACGTTTTTCAAAGTAGCTCAAATGGGTATCCGACTCTTCCCTTTTCAGCTGGGATTGGGCTGTCGTGAATGCAGTGATAATGAGATGCTGGCACTTTCGATAAACAGCTTTCAAAGGATGGTGAACAATGGGTGCAATTTGATTCTTATTTTCTTTGCCAGGACTTCGGTATTGTATATATACTACAGGCTTCTCTCACACAACAGTTGGAGTTTTTGATGTCTATTCTCTCACAGCTTCTTGGGCAAATATCTCACAATAAAAAGGCTCTTGATAAGGAAGCTAATCAATACAGCGCTCTAAAGATGCAAAATGATTCCCAAAACGATTTATTCTGAAGGAGAGAGATAGCAGGGTGCTCTCTGATGGGTGATCAAATGGCCACAACACCCACAGTGTAGGGGCCCTGGAATGACAGAGCTGAGCCCTCACTGTCACTTTAAGGTCAGTTTCCTTATATGGAAGAGTCTTACTGAAAAAGGGATGCCTTGTCATCTGCTTTTCCCATTTAAAAACAAACAAACAACACTGATTTAGAATTAGTTAAAAATAACCAGGTATAATAAGGTTAAAAAAATCCCTTAAATTACATAAAAGCCCAGTATTATATGCCAGAGTATTTATCTGATTTGAAATGTCATCAACTTCTGACCCCCATTTAAACAGCAGACAATCTTATGAGGCCTCATTTTCCAATTATCAATGAGTTTTCTAAGGGCATTTCTCAAAGCAGGAGAAGAAAGTGTGTTGACAGACAGCACCGATCCACTATGAGATCATCAACTGCTCCCAGGCATAAACCTGACTTTAAAGTTAAGACTCTGGCCATGTGCACTGGAATCTCCCTGTTATTTGCTTGGTCATGGTCATTCTTAGCATCATCAGACGCCGAGACCCGCCCTTCGTCCACCTGCTCCGTTCATCTGGGAGCATTAAACACCTCACCCCAGGTCTGGCAGCGCCCCCTTCCCAGTCCCAGACCCCGTGGGGGCAGTGACACCACTGTGCAGAAGACGATTAGCCCAAACACTGACCTCCTCAGGTACAAGTGGCTCGATCATGGGTGCCTCCTCCTGCCTGGCCGCCAGTCGCACAGGGGACGTGGAAAGTCTCTTTTCCCACTCATTTGTTAAGGCCGTTTCTGTAGAGGTTTCCAGGAAGGTTCTTTTCAGCTCGCTGATGTTGGTCTGGTGCTTCATCAGTTCATCTTGGGTTTTGTCTAGCTCCTACGGGCAGAGCAAGAAGATTCCAACAGTCAACATTTCACAGTGACTTCCTATGCCCGGCCACCCCGCTTTTTTTTTTTTTTTTTTTTTTAAAGTATCAAACACATTAGTAGTCAAAAGGAAACTGGATTTGGATCAGGGTTCAAGACACTACTACAAACACTCTAGTGAAGATGTAGGATTTCCAGAAGAAGAGAAAGAAAAATAATTTAGTTTTTCACAGCATACAAATTAAAAAAAAAAAAAGTTAAAGGCACATTCTAAGGAGTGACATTACATGTAACCAGAGGATCAAAACAAATGCACACACATACACACACATGGGAAAAGGGCCGTATGTGTAGGAGAGAATAAGGACTCAGAGTTAAGTTGAGAAGTCACCATTGCCGGTCACTAACAGTTGAGCACACAGTTCATGCATCATGGTTCGAGTCCACGGGTGTGGCATGGCAAGAGGACAACACACACAAGCATGCACTGTTGCAATACCAATACCAACCTCTAACATAAGATTACTATGTTTGACATACACATTTTCACCCTTTATTCGCTTAACCAGACTATTCTGAAAAAAGTGGAGAAGAGAGGGAAAGGTAAGGACACAGTAGTCAAGGGAAGAAATGCCACTCCACACGCCGTCGGCATGGTAACTGGGAGGGAACATGCGGAGAACGTCGGTCGTCTGAACATGGCACACAAACAATGACGCATCACACACTGGTCTGGGGTGTCTTTTATTTTCTACCTGTGCCTTGAGCTCTGCATCTTCCTCCTGGTCCGACTGGCAGCGTCAGGAAAGAGTGGGAGATAAAGACTTACCAAGCGATTTACTCTACGGTTAGAGACCTAAGGTCTATACACACTCGCTGGCTGTGAGTACTATTGCACACTCGCTGGGCGTGAGCGTAACGGCACTCGTGCCCTCAGACGCGGTGCTTTCTTAGACACAAAGCGCAGCTCTCTCTCTCTCTCTCTCTCTCTCTCTCTCTCTCTCTCTCTCTCACACACACACACATGACGAAACGCCATAAGAACAAAGCAGCAAGCGAGTTTTTGCTCAGTGGTCTGGCATTTCAAGAGGCAGATGCATGAGCTTTGAGAAGGGGCAGCAGGGGATTGGCAGGTCATCCTTACAGAACATTAGCAAAGAATTTGGAGTCTGGATTTGGGGACTCAGTTCACAGATCCCCAGAATGGCTATCATTATGGGAAAATGACAGTCCCTCCATAGGCAAGACCTCACTGTGATTATATATCAGCCCTTGTAACTTCCAGTTTGTAGACCACAAAACTGCAGCTCAAAGAGCTTAATACGTAGCCTCCTGCAGTTTGAAACAAGTGGAACCTCAAATGCCTTGTACTCACACACTTTGTTTTTAATTATCATTATTTTTCATTTTGTGTATGACTGTTTTGCCTGCACATAGGGCTATGCCCCGCTTGTGTGCCTGGTGCCCGCAGAGGCTAGAACAGGGCGTTGGATCCCCTGAAACTGTAATTTGAGCTGAGGTGGCCATGAGCTGCCATTGTGGGTCCTGTGGACGAGCAGCCAGTGCTCTCTGCCACTGAGCCCTCTCTCCAGCCCTCAGTTCGTTGTTGAGGCCTCTACAGTGCTGGGGCTAGTCTTAGAGGGAAGATTGAGATACAGGATAAAGGAAGTGTAAACAAAATCAGTTACCACTATCAACAACACTACTGGATCTTTCTTTAAAATCAAACAGGGCAATTTTCTGAATTAAAAGGATACCCATTAAAAATATCTCATAGCCCATTCATTGTTCTTCCTTTTCCAGTTTTAAGGGCCCAGCTTGTTCTTGGCCTGATATCAAGTACCAGTAACTGGGTAAGTGGACCACAGCCCCATGCACGGGTCAGCATGGTGAAGGGTTTCTCACCACACCTCTCTGAGGGGTGCCTGGTCTTCCCAGGTCCTCGTGAGACCCAGAGGCAAACTAGAGGTGAGAATGAGGCATGCTCAAGAAAGGCATCAAGCTAAACAAGTAAAGGTCAAGTAAAGGTCAAGCTAAGCAAAGCATCTGGTCTACCTAGAGCTTAGCATTTTATGTTTGCTTTGGTTTGGTTTTGTTGAGACAGTCTTGCTCTATAGCCCAGGCTAGCCCCTCCCAGCACTCATACACTTGTATATATACATATATACATACACACTCATATATATACATACATATATACACATACACACACTCATATATACATACACATATACATATATATACATATATATACATACATACACACACTCATATATACATACACACATACACACACATACATATACATACACACACATAAATATACATATACACACACTCATATATATATACATATATACACATACATACACACTCATATATATACATACACATACACACATATACACATATACACATACACACATATACACATACACACACTTATAAACATAAATATACACACACTCATATATACATATATGCATATACATACACACACTTATATATACATACACACATATACATATATACACACATATATATATTTCTCAGTTTTCCATTGTTGGGAAATTGTATGGACAGACAGTCTTAGCTGGGCTCAGATTTCCTATCAGTGTACAGGGACCAAGGTGCTTTCTCTGCATATCCCATAATTCAGTAATGCTAGTGACATGAAGGGAAGGGAATGTGTACACAAGGGTAACAGGACACAACCCAGTATTGGTGACAGGCTGATTCTTATACATGTGTTGGGCCATAGCTCATTATTTCATTTGTAGGTTTCACAGTGTACAAGATTACATAGGGGTACACACTTGCTTTAATGGTATGTAACAAATTTAAAAAGTGCTATAGAGATTTAAGGCATTATTGAATTGTTGAATCGCTGCTCAATTCTACTATAGATTGGGTTTGGCCTGCGAGGGCATGGTCAGGGTGATATAGAGGAGGGACGCTTATGGGGTGGGCTGCTTTCAGTTTCATCTTTGGCTTGCTGTATAGACTGCTGCCCTGCTGGCTGGCTAGGTCGCTCTGTAAGTAAGGCTTTTCCCTATTAAATTCCCTTGTATTTCTACCTGACTCCGTATTGGTAATTTCCCACATTAGTTATCTACTGAATGTACTAGTCTGTGACTGCTTACAATTGCATGTTATCTATTGGATGTACTAGCCTATGGCCACTTACAACTATCTCTTATAATTCAAGGTGCAGTTTTGTTTGGCAAAGAAAATGATCAACCTGTCCACTTAGCTATTGCTGCTGAAGAGAACCTGGAAAATGGTGTTGTGCTATTATCTTCTACTGTAAAATGTTACGATGTATAGGCTGCAGCATTCTAAAGGAAGAATTCTTATAAAACCCCACCAGAAAAAAATGTCTTCATTCTCACCTCAGTGGCACTGGTTTCCCCATCAGCTGCGGTGTCTGTCCGTTCACTGTCAGTCTGTGGATCACAGAGGCCATCAGATCCGAGGAGGAAGCAGGGATAGAAAACAAACCCATCTGGTCAAACAGGGCACACACTGCTGGAGCCATTCACGTTCTTTCTCTGGGGTCTGTGGCATCCTAACCTTCCCACGGAGTATGGGCATGAGCAAAGCAAAGAGGCGGCAGAGCTTGGGGTCTTCGGCAGAGCCCCTCCGAGGTCAAGACCCGAGGCACACACACAGTGGGCCACCCTGACCTGTCTGCATTTACAGTTTAGGACATCAATCTGTCACCCCCTCCCCTTTTCCACCAGTGCCCTTAAAAGCTCTCCTAAAAATGCTTAACACAAATCAAATGGAGGTTCACTTATACATATTTTACTCTAGTAATGCCACATTGGAGAAGTGAATGAATTTAGGTTTATGCTAATAGCTGCTATAACAGTCCCTGGACTTTCAGCCCCTCATTTATACCATTCCACCAACTATGACCACCAGGCTGTCTGCATTACCAATTAATGATCAGAGCATACTGATCATACAGAATCATACTGGTGATTCACAGGCATCTATTTTATACAGAAAAAAAGCACCATGATTTTCAAATAGATCGCTAATGGGTAACAGCTCTGTTGTTCACTTTGCCCCACTCTCCAATATAAAGAGGTATAGTCAAGTATGCATTTAAACATCTCATTGCAAAAGTACCATTCAAATGTTGCAGATGACAGTAATAATAATAACTGAAAAAATAGAAAGAGAGAAAGAGACATCTACTTAGAGACGAATCAAACAAAGCACAGCATTTGACAGAACTAGGTTTTTTTTGGGGGGGGAATGAGAAGAGCTCATTTCAGGGGTCACTTTTCATGTCTATGTGTTTTAATGTGTTTGGAGGGGTTTATGGTTTAAGACAAAAACTACGTATTGATGATGAACCATCAATACAAACTGACTTTTCATCCATAGACTTCAATCAATTATTAGCACATTTCTCTCAGCCAGAGCCTTGTGGGTAATACTTTGAAAGCAAGCGTCTGAGCTTGCTGTAGAGTTGTGGTTCTACTTGCAACAATGGGATGTTCACAATGGCAGCCAGGACTGCTGCTTGTCTCTCTTGATCTATCTCTGTCCAGGACTATCCCAAACTTTGTTTTTATATATACTTAAAAAAAAAGCAGTTGCATTGCACACTTGGCAGGTGTGCCTGAGAATGGAGGGAAAAAATTCAATAGATTTTTTTCATGACCTGATCACTTCAGTTTAAAAAGTGTGGCGGAGGTGTCTACTAATTCTTTTAGGAGTAAGGCATGGCTATCATAATCCCAGGGCCTCAACAATTGACATCCAGGGGAAGGGTGATTTGGATTAGTACAAAAGACAGAATAAATTTCAGATGTTTTAGGCCTTCAAGAAAATAAGAATCATATGTTTGGTATCCTTCTTTTTTTATATTTTATTTAACTTTATTTTATGTGCTTTGGTGTGAAGGTGTCAGATCCCCTGGGACTGGAGTTACAGATAGTTGTGAGCAGCCATGTGGATGTTGGGAATTGAACTCGGGTCCTCTGAAAGAGCAGTTAGTGCTCTTAACCACTGAGCCATCTCTTCAGCTTCCATGTTTGGTACCTTAATTAGCTGTGCCAAACATATATAACGCGGTTGAAGAAATTCTCTTCCTACTTTAAGAAGTCTCTTTATAATTCTAAAGTTGACTTCATGAACTTTCCAACATCTTAGTATTAGAATTCAGCTGTAGGTAAGAGTAAGGGGTCTGATGTCAGATTAAATATTCTCAAATCATTGCTTTGCAAGGTTGCATGCATTTCTTCTGGAAAATGGAGATAACAGCTGTGTCTATATGCATAAGGGTTATTTAATGCTTTATGGAATTCTACCACACAGAACTACAAGTTGCCAATGATAACTTAAATATAATACACCGTTAGTTATTACTCTGATTTTCCTAGGCATCAAATGTTGTTGTTGTATCTAAACTCTCTCAGAACCTGGGTGCAGGGCACATGCCTGGAATGAGGCAGGAGGACTGAAGAAAGGATCCAGGAAGTGGTCAATGTGATCAGATCCTATAGAAAAACTCATCTGTTGACTCCTTGCAATTCCTGCTTTACAAAAACATAGTAATTGAATAAAGCAGTTTTGATAACAGCTGTTATTTATACTGTATATTATCAGTAATATTATATGTACCTGTGACTACACAGAACTGCAAAAGAATAGCATGTCATGAATTGTATAATACTATCTTTACACAATTCTAAGATGAATCAGTTGGTAGATTCATTCTTCTGACATATTTGAATAAATCTCCCTTTTCTTTGTATTATAAAAAATTACTCAGGGATTCATATGTAATTGCATCCTACGTTATGGTAAGCTAAATTCATTGTAGTGTTCTGTGGAAGGTGATTCGATATTCTGCCTCTTGTTTAGTCGTTCTGAAAGCAGAGAAGAAACATTGCTGGGCCAATTGCTTTATCGTTTGAAATGATTAAGTGCTTGTGTGCTGGGTTTCGATTTTGAGAGAGGCAGTGACTGACTCTATACAACACAAGGGAGAAGTAAAACGGGTCACCGTCATTAGTGATTCTGCAAAACAGTAGTGGCAGGGATGAACTGCATGATGAGAACTTGCCCAGCTGAGTTGCCAGGGTACTTGAGGCCTATAGAATAAAATAAGCTTTGCACGCAAATGGCATTTTAAGAAATGGGATGAGCCAAATATGAGTTCTTTAGCTTAAGTTGAAGTGGATTGTGTGGCTCTTAACACCTGGGGTTAAGACTCAACACTGAACAGAGATGGCCAAATCCACAGCCTGGCTGCAGGAGCGCTATAAGCGGCTAACGGAGGCTGGAGAGGGGACTCCTGCAGTGGGCAGTGCTAACTCAGTGTCTGAGTCCCAGATACTTAGGTCATCGGGGTGGGGGAAGCTTTAAGACGGGGGCTGCTGTGATTTGCTTTGCTGATGTAATGCAGACATGACCAAGTTTAACGGTAGTTCCCATGCAACTCCAACGAGATGTAAGCCCTGGATTAGGCACAAGATCTGTGTGGTTAGCACCGCAAACAACGGCAATTCAGAACTCAGAGAAGCTGGAATCGCTTTTTTTTTTTTTTTTTTTTTTTTTTTTTCTTTTTGGTGTGTGGGAAGGGGATTTTGAGTATGGGGACTTATTCCTCCGCTAAAAGCAAAAGTAAGTTTCTTTAGGAAGCTACCAACGGTCCTGAATGCAGCAGGCTCTAGTCCTACACCCTCTGATAATGCTGTCACTCTGAAAAACTTGTGTTAAAAGCCTGAGATTTAAAATGGTTCCTCAAATCTGCTGCGGCAGAAACACTGACATCTCTTGATGCACACACACCAAGAACCCCAAAGGGCTCTCAGGCGGTACTGAACTGAAAACCCTAGATTCCCCTGTAAGGCACCTTTGAGATCATTCTCATTTCCCCCACCATTGCTGCTCAGAAACAGGCATAACACCACTAAATATAGGTTCCAGCACATGTCAGCAGCTCCACACACTAACAGGGGCAGGTCAAATTATGACTTTCTACCTGAGCCCAGAACTGAGTAGACTTTTCTTTTCTTGTCTTTTTAAAAAAAGTGCTGCCTTGACTGGGCTTGTCTCCTGTCACATAAAGTGCTTGCTTTGCAGGAAGAGGCAAGCTTGGGGCTCCGAGGGAGAGGTACGGGACTCTCTGGGGGTCAGCTTCTATTCTTTTCCCTGTGCTCTGGTTGAAGTCCTTACAAAGGGAGGCTTCTGGGCTGTTCACGTGGCTGTGGAGCTGCAGGAATTGTACTGCAATTAAGAGGGGAAGCTGCTAATTATGCCAGCTCACCTAGTGGCTGGGATGAGGGAGACAGAGCACTCGGTTCCTCTCCCTTTATACCTGCTCAAGGGCCAGAGACACCTGGCTGTACCACACGAAAATGTGCGGACAGACATTCGGGTCTTATACTGCTGTCTGATATGAATACTAGTATGGCCAGCATAAGAGGGGGTGGGAAACCCTCAAATAAATGTAGTCCTGACATTTTCTGGACGGCACAGCACTACATGCGTGGTCCATGTGGCTCTTTCTGGTCCTACTTCTGGCTGTACAAGTGAGTGACGTCATGTGGGTACCACAAACCATTGTAGGCATTTCTTCTGTCAACAATGAGAAGTTATATCTAACAGGACCCTGGAAGCACTTTGGATCCTTGGGGCAGGGTGGGGCAGGGAGAGAAACAGGGGCAATTTGGGAAAACTACTTGAACGTGATGATACTTAACCTTTAGCAGAACCACTTGGTCACTCCATTTGTGTTGGCGTCTTGTTTTAGTCACAAGCTATTTATGTGTATTATATGAGATTTAATTTACTAGATGATAACTGACCAGGAAGTCACGGCCTTTCCATAGTGATTGAGATACGTGAAACTGAGTTCTGGCCCAGTCCTTATCCCATGCAGAACTCAGTGGATAGCAGAATGGTTACTGTTGACTACAGACTGCTCCGTCCACAGTGTTGTGCCTAACCCTGGGGCCTGGCTTGGACTCCCCAACACAAAAACCCTCAACATAGTGGCACAGACAGTCAATGAGGCTCTGAAAGTAGGACCTCTCTGGCAGCAGCCAGCTAACACTGGTTCGGACTGAAGCACGGAACACGCAGGGAAAAGTGTGCTCTATGCTGAGGTACACACCTCTTCCTCTGAACTGTCACTCGGGTCATTGTCTAGGGAGGCGCTCAAGGAGGCCGCCTTGGGCTCCAGGTAGCAGAGGCACAGAGCCAGAGGGAAGGAGAGAGTGAGGGCGTAAGGTACAGAGAAGGAGGCAGACAGCAGGAAGAAGAAAATGAACAGGAAGCAGGGCAGGAGTGAGGGCGAGCGGATGGGGAGGAACTGCTGCCAGCTCTGGGGTAGGAGGTTGGTTTCAGACAGATTGGGAAAGGAGAGGTACCCGTCCTCATCCAGGAGCGAGGGGAATGACTCAGGGAGCTGCAAGGAGAAGGAAAACAGCGTGGTTCCTTTGCCAGTCTGCTGCCTGTAACTAAATGCCACATCCTGGTCCCCTAAGCAAGCCTTCCCCTGGCCGTCAGACGCCGAGGCTGGCTCAGCGTTGGGCAGCACGGACGCTGCCAAGGGGCTTTCGTTCTCCTTACACCTCCTGCGGAGCTCTGTGGGAGATGCGGGATCAAGATGGGCTGATGGGGGTGACAAGGGACATGAGTCAGCGGCGCCATGCCCGGGTGACTGATGCGGAAGAGACAGAGAAAAGACAGGAAGCGGTAAACATGGATGCAAAAGGACAAAAAGAAAAAGTGCAATTAGTTAAACTTTCTCACGGGCATCAGCAGAAAATCGTAAAACAAGAGTTTCTCATGGGCATCGTAAAACAAGATTTTTGAAGTCATCATTGCTGCTGGGCAGCCACGATGAGGGGGACTAAGGCTCCCCCAGTAGAACATCATACACAGGCTGAGAAGTCAAAAGTCAGAACAGAGGTCACCGTGAAGAGGCCCGCATAAACACGCCCAAGAGCGAACAACTCTAGTAAATGAAAACCGAGACTTTCAACAGCGTCCTCCTGATCTCCAGGCAACACACTGGCCCTGCAGCCTCAGCGGGACTCAAAATAAAATGAAACACAATCCAAAGTCTGACTGAGTTAAAGAATAATTTCCAGTCACCTTCCTTTCCTTGGCTAGCCAATTACACCCCAAACAGACAGGCTTCCTAATGGGGAAGTTTCTGGCCCCACTCCTGTCTCCTGTCTGAAATGTGCAGTAACAGTTACAGATGCCGATGAGGGGAGCCGCAGTGTGCACTCCAGGATCTCTGGCTCCCACAGAGAATGGAGGCTCCTCTGATTCATCCATTTTGTTTTTTTTTTTTTTTTTTTTTTTTTTTTTTTTTTTTTTTTTTTTATCTAGGTGGCTAAACTGGACTTCGGCTCCTATCAGTGGTTTAAGGAAGTGGACCAGCAAAAAAAAAAAAAAGTTTTCAAGCCGGGTGTTGGTGGTGCACGCCCTTAATCCCAGCACTTGGGAGGCAGAGGCAGGTGGATCTCTGTGAGTTCGAGGCCAGCCTGGCCTCCAGAGCGAGTGCCAGGATAGGCTCCAAAGCTACAGAGAAACCCTGTGTCAAAAAACCAAAACCAAAACCAAAACCAAAAAAAAAAAACAAAAAAAAACAACAGTTTTCTCGAAACATGGTTTCTATGTGTTTGGTTTGTACTACATAGGGTCTCCATTTAATGGAAAGATGCAATTTCTCAGCCTAGCCTACCGATTTCTCTAAACATAAAGGATATGACATGCATGCATTCCCACTAAAGTGCTCCCATAAGCTCCTGCTTTTATGAGATTGGAGAATGGATGTCACTTTCTGGGACCCTGGCAGTCTTAGTGGCCAAAGCCAGAAGCAAGGAGTCCCTAAGCAGGCTGGGGCAAAGCATTGGGGCTCATATCCACAATAAGTTCAAGGCCAGGGAATGTGGAGCTTGACATAGCCTTCTTCAGCTGCTCCCCTTGCTGTGTGTGTGTGTGTGTGTGTGTGTGTGTGTGTGTGTGTGTGTGTGTTACCTAGCAGCTTGAGATCATGAAAATTACTCAGCCTGCTTGGTGGTGGCTATCCAATCCTGACTTGGAGAGAAGTGATAAATATAGCAACAAAGGGGGAGAAAATGCACAAATAAAATCACATCTTAGGCATGAGAGACGGATGGAGACAATGCCCAGATTGTGTATCAGGATATGTCAGCCTTTGGAGTGATTCTCGGATGCTCAACACTTGACACTAAACATTGTATCCCCCTAAACAGGAATCTGCACAATTCTCATTCAGCTAAGAACAATGCAGATGTTACAATTGGCCCCTTCACGAAGGCCGCCCTCCCTAGGCAGTGAGTGAGACACTGCCCTGGTCATCAGTCACAGGAACACACCCCTCTCCAGGCAGCCTGGCAAACAGTCTCTTAAACATTATTGCCAACGGTGCATGTTCATTTTGGTTCAAAAATAAGCAGCCTCTATGTAGCTTTTGAAGATGGAAAAGAGTAAGATTTGATACTCTTTCCTGAGCCGTGTATTAGAGTGCTTTTGGAAAGTCAGCTTTGCAGTGGGGAAATAAAGACAGCCAGCACCTGCCAGCACTCAGTTACAGCCTTCCAGAAGGCTCTGCTGAAATGCCACCTTCCTGGAGACTGGGGTTACTAAGGTAGCTTTCTGCGTCCTTCTGTTTCCCCAGGACAGCCATGGCACAGAGTAAGATGGAGCAGAGCTGCTTCTTCCTACATGTCAAGGTCACAGGATGGTCTCTCAGAAACAAAACAAAAGGAGAAAACCTGGACCTACTTTGGGAGCAAGCATAAAAATCCTTCCTTTTTGCCTGCCACTCAAGTGTAGTTTCACAGCCACGAGAATCATTTGCAGGCACTGATAATTTCAGGAAAATTGGAAAAAACCAATGTTTGCATTCCAGGTGGATTATCCCCCTCACCCATGCCCCAGTTATGAGATCTGACGTTGGTATAAGTGATGAGGAGAATTATAACAGCCAAATTTAGAACAAAGCACATTTGGACAGCAGAAGTTGCAAAGGCCTGGCCATCATTTCTGACTCTGCTGTTTTTTTTTTTTTTTTTTTTTTTTTTTTTTGTGTGTGTGTGTGTGTGTGTGTGTGTGTGTGTGTTTGGAAAATAAAGAGCCTGTCCCTAAAAGGAAAAGCAGCAGAATGATAGACTGGGAGATTTGGATTATTTTCATCTACTAGAGAAAATGCTTATTTGTTCAGTTTAGGTTTCTGAGGTGTTGGATATTAAACCAAAGGTCCACACACGCTAGGTCAGCCCCTTATCGCTAAGCCACATTCTCAGAAATAGAAGTCGACATCGTTCATGTGATGAACTAACTACCTGCTTAGGAGGCTGGTTGAACTGATATGGGAAGAAGCCCTGTGCAGCCCCAGGCATTGCTTTTCAAGAATATTTCTATGCAACAAAGCACCAGGGAACCAAACGAACTCGAATTTTGGGATAACCCATAGGCTAAGAGGTTTCAATGCCAATGTCCCCTGTGTGACCTGCTATAATGTCGGATCACGGGAAATCAATCTGAAACTAATACTTGAGGAATCTAATTTTGGGGAAGTAACATCATGAAGTGCAATGAATGACAATCCGCTGTTATGTCAAATTCACTTTTCTCTTTCATTGCAGCAGGTCACTTCTTTGCAGATTATAGTTAGAAGACTAAGAGATTAGACATAAACACACGGGTTATGGTCACTTACTCGGTGTACATGTCATCAGGAAAATGGCTAAGAAAACATACCATACTGGGCAGGAGAATGGGGCCAGAAATGGACAATAGCTTTGGTGACAGTTGTAAAATGTGAAGTCCAATCAGGAAAAAAAAAAAGTACTGTACCATCTAAAGTATTTTTTTAAAAAGAGATCCATCCAGAACAGCTGTTGAAAGTCTTATAAAACACATTCCTCGTTAAAAATTTCCCCAAAAGTTAAGAAAACAGCTTTAAGAGAATATGCTGAAATTAATAATAATAATAATAATAATAATAATAATAATAATAATAATGTAAAACCCCACATGAACATGACCAGTGTGGGAGTTGGGACGCCCCCTCCACCTTCACACCCCTGGTCTACCTTCTCAAAACCACTGAGCCGTTAGTAAGGGCAAGGGCAGCTCTAGGAGGCAGCCAGCCGGGAGTTGTACCTTTCCCTCGTGCCGGAGGGCTGTGACAGGGGTGGCTTCCTCGGCCTTCCTCCTTCTGTCCTCCTCCTCACCATGCTCCTCTTCGGCCTTTTTCTCTGGAGTCACACTGGTGATCAAGTTGGTCTGAGAGATGCCCTTTGTTGTGGCGTACTGGCCTGTGCCAACCTCTGCAGCAGACATAGAGTCCTTCATGTACATTTCATGGGTTTCATTCACTGATGCTAAAAGCAGATACAGTTGGGGAAATAAAATCCCAAACAGTTGAGTCAGAAGACAGAACGACAAAGCCACACTGCACCTTTACTAGGAGGAAAACACCAGTGTAAAAACATCAGGCTGGTTTGCATAAGGAGCAGGAGAGCTGCAGGGACTTTTATCCAAGCAGTGTCTCTCTGCGTTGCCTGGACCGGTGCTTTAAAATGATTTAAATGTCCATGTCTTGACCCTAGGATAATGCTTAGCATTCCCATATCTCTGGTGAGGGTGGGGAGGAGCTGAAGGAAGGGAGGTTGGTTTTGTCCCCAAGATCACTGGCTGGGAACTCAAACCAGATTCATACTAAGCTCAAGAATTCCCAGCAGTATTTGCAGCAAATCCTCTAACCACTTAACTTTGAGCATATCCATGCAAGGGCCACCCACTGAAGGGGCAATGGAATTACTTCTACTGTTTTCCAGTGTTGAAAAAGCTCAAAGCGTTGTAACAAAATTTAATAATTTTGGCAGAGATTATAAAATTTTGGAAGGGCATTCCTCTCAACTGATGTAAGGAAGTGTTTTAGTTTCCATTGCATTTGGAACAGACTGCCACGAGGATATGTACATACATTCATTCTCTTCTCTACTATTTGGGGAAAACAAGACAAATGTTGCTAGCAAGCAAAACCCATGCAGAGGCAGACCATGTGAGCACAGAGAAGTGAGGTGCAGCCCTGCATCCCACTTGACCCAGGAAGAAGCAGACCATGTGAGCACAGAGACGTGAGGTTCAGCCCCTATTGCAGCTGGTATCTTAGTGAAAGAATGGTGTCTTCATTCAGTCTAGTGCTTCATTCAGATAGATTTTAAATTTTTCTAGTCATTCTTTTAGGGCTTAGGTATCATAAAAACATGCTAAAATTTGTAAATATGTCTTTTCAAATACCTCACAGTTGATCACAGACAAAGATATGACCTGAATTAATATTTTAGGTACCTTAAGACACCAACAAAATGAAAACAAAACAAAAGGATTCTAAATGAAATCCTTCACTAAGATATTCTCTGCCTCTTTGTGGTGATGGAAAGCTCATGAGATACTTTTTTTTTTCAGCCAGTTATACTGTTATATACAGGATGCTGCCTTGTCAAAAAGCAGTTTAATGTTCCAACATGCAGACACGGCAGCCGGCTCCGCAGTGGAAAATGTACTAGAATTGGCAGGGCAACAAAGAGTGAGACAACACATACTAACATCACTTTTGGGCAGAAAGGAAGAGACAGCATGATATTAGTACATTGATTTCACAATTGTCTTCTGTTTTCTCAACAGCCATTTTCACACAAAGACCATGAGGAAAACAACACTGACAGCGATTGTATTCCCCGGGTGCACGCCATTGAACAAAGTAGGTGGTATTCAGCGGAAAGAAAGGCACGAGATTGTACATAACTTCCTCAAATATTGACTTAGAGAACATACAGATTGTTAGCAGACAGTTTCTAAAGAGCAGAAAGAAAGGCTTTGGCATTAACAGGGAGGTCTTCATGTCTTAAATCAACTGCAATTGGTCTTGGGTCTAGAAATATAGAAAGATGTAGAACAGCAGCATTCTCTCTTGGCCTCTATTGTGGATCGTCCCGGCACTTCTCTGAATATTTAATCTGGAGATGCTCGAGTCCCTTACAGAGCATGACATACTTTCTACATACAATCTGTGCACACCTATCTCTACTGTTTTTAATACCTATGTAAATAATATGTAACTAGTTATCACATTGTACTGTTCAGAGAATGATAAAACAGTCTTTGTGTATTCAGTATGGAAGAAGCACTGTAAGCATTGTAGTTACCTGTCGGTTATCTGTATACCTGTCTATCATTATCTGATTATCTGTCAGCTGGGGACAGAACTGAACCTGGGGTCCTGGGCCTACCTCACCCACATTTTCCATCTACATTTGGCTGACTGTAGAGTCAGAACCTTTAAATATGAAGTCTGTTTGTAATAAATGTGGCCAGCCTACAAAGCCTCTGAGGATTACCCCAATAATTACAGTGACAATTACATCAACACCAAGAATGCTTTCCCAAACATCCTCTTTACTCTTCCTAACAATCCTGTTGAAGGTGGTCTTATGTCCATTTTCTTTTTACATGACTAAAACGGAGGGCCACGGAGCCTGGGCTTATGAATGTGTTTTCCCATGTATCTAGATGAGTGTTGCTTCTACACCAGTAGCAATATATATGACCCCGCATTCACAGTGCGAGCGTGACGAGCGTGGCTGCTTCTTACCAGGGAATGTGGGGAATGGGTTGAGGGGAGCTGAGGACCTGCGAGGGGCAGCAGAAAAATACAGATGGGCAAAGAGGGCCCCAGCAATCTAATTTTCCCTTTTCATTTAGGCTTACCTATTAAAATTGTGGGGACCTTTCAGAAATGTCTAATTCTTTACTCAGCCAGGATGAGTCTTCCATGAATCAGCCAAGCCATGGCCATGTGCTGAATTAGGTACCAGAGCCCTGCCCACAACCAGGTCCTAAGTGTCACCATTGCTGGCACACTCTGGAGGATAAACACAGCTTCTGCTGTGAAGGACACCACACACGGTAGACAAAGCCACTCTTACTGATAACTCGGAATTATGCCCTTCCCTTAGTGAGTTGCTGGGTCATCTCTGGTCAGCCTGTGTTCGACTTGACAGTAGACAGGGTCATTTACCACTGCGATGCTCTCTCCCACCTGTCACAAACTGACTGATAACCTGCATTCTTTCTAATTTTCAGAGACGTATTTAACTTATAATCCTTTTCCTGTTAATCCTTGAAGACCTGCCTGGAAGAGAACCGAACTCTAGAATGTGAGAGTCCTGTATTTGGAGTGAAGATGTCTTCCCCCAGGTCCGTCTGTTAAAGACAAGATCCTCATTCCCCAAGTGCTGAAATACTCCAGCAGGAACTCACAATAAAATGGACTGGATACAGATAGATTTTGGAGACAAGAATGTTCAAAACTTGCCGTTCAACTGCTTAGATCCACATGGTGTCATTTCTCAGAGTCCAAGTGGATAACTCTGCTCACACAAAGCTCACAGTGGTTTCACGTGCCCTGCTGGAGAGGGGTGGAGAACCGGTGAGTAGTGCCTACCTCCATCCAAGCTTCGAGACATGGTGTAACGTTTGCTGGACGAGCGTTCGAAGTAAGGCGCTGGGCGGTCTATCAATGCGCTGGCTCTTCTCGTTTGCGCCTGAGTTCTGCCACTGTAACGGAACTTGGAGCCCAAGGTCAGGAATTTCTTTGGAGGTGCTTCTGGTAGCAATAGTCTAAAGGCATTAAATCAAACAGCAGGAAAATGAATTCACACTCAGGTAGTGTTTAAAGCCGATTGTTTTGCTTTCTGTTCAACAAACGTGTGATTAAATGAATCTGAGTTCATAGGAAACATTATCAACACAATATATATTAACTAGGGATGTTGTAAGAAGATGAAGCAAAATGGGGGTCTAGGCAGAAGAGAGAGGGATGTTCAGAGGAGCCAGCTTGGTGGTAGAATGCTTTGGGTTCTATCCCTAGCACTACAAATAAAAAAAGAAGAAAAAAAAGAAATATTAAGTTGGGTACACACCTGTAATTCTTGCATTTAGGAGACACAGAGAAGGATCAGAAGTTCAAGGTCATGTTGTTAGATGTTGGCTGATGACTAGGGCTTCTTAGTGCTTATCTCTGTCTTAATTATTAACCCATTTCTATTAATCTAAGTATTTCCATGCGGTTTTATCTTGCCGGAGAATGCCTGGACATGCTACTCTTTTGTGGTCTACATGGCAACTGTTTTTTTTTGGGGGGGGGCAGGCGCTCTCTGCCTACCTTTCCCAGAATTCTCCTTGTCCTAGCCCCACCTATCTTCCTGACTCACTGGCCAGACTGTTTTATTCATCAACCAATAAGAGAAACATATATACATATATACAGAAGGACATCCCCCATCAAGGTCATCCTTAACTACACAGTGAGTTGAGTTCAAGGTCAACCTGGGCTATGGGAGATCTTGTTTCCAACACACACACACACACACACACACACACACAGAGAGAGAGAGAGAGAGAGAGAGAGAGAGAGAGAGAGAGAGAGAGAACATGATACTTGAAATTATGAAATAAAATGATGAAAACACACAACAATAAAGAAAGGTCAAGAGTGGATAATACAAAATAAATTAAGGAAACTTCTTGAGATTTCTTCTTTTAGGATTTCTATCAAGGAGCTCAGTGTGAGCTGGGTATTCAAGCATAGGCCTATAATCCCAGCTCTCAGGAGGTTGAGGGAGGAGGATTGGGAACCTCAGGACAGCTTGGACTACACAATGAGGCTGTGTCTCAGAACAGAAATGAAGTGGTGTGCCACACAGCATGAGAACCTGAGTTCAGGTCCCCAGAGCCCACTTAAACCAGGGCAGGGTGGACTCTGTGATACAAAGACGTCTACAGGGAGATGAGAGTGCCGACAGGGGAGTCCAGCCTGCTGTAGACAGCAGTGAACAGCAGGGCTTGTCTTAAACACAGTGGGAGGTGAGGACAGATACCCGAGGTTGTCTCTAACCTCTATGTGTATAGTGACATGAATGTACCCATGTCCCTTACCCCATAAGAGGGACAAAGAAGAGAAACAGTGACCATTGTGATTACAGGAATAGAAAGTACCCACCATGTTTTCCTCTCCAACTTTTCCCCCTAGTACAAACAGTTCAAAATTTTGTTAGGAAGGAACCTAAATATTCTCTCCATACCTGAAAAATGTATGGTGTTCCACACATACTTTCCAGAGGCGCTTGGCAGCGCGGTGGTTTGGCAATTTGAACCCAATGGTGCTTTCAAACTGTTCAAACTAAAAATTAAAAACACAGGAAAGAGTAAAGTTCAGTTTGGTGTTTTATAAATAAAAGCCCTGCAAAAAGCCCTACAGACTTATTTTCTGCCATAATTCCTTTGGTTACCTACTGGGTCGACTGTTACATGCGAAATTCATTCTGGGAATGCACTCATTTTACAAACAATCCTTTATCTACCACCTTAAAATGCCTGACGTGCAGGTAGCTGTCAATACTCTGTACAATCAATCACCCACCTTACAAAACCTAAACACAAGTCAGGGAGCCGCGTGGATTCCCTCCAGAGATCATTTCGTCCCAACCTCATTTTAAGTTGTGTCTCCATGTTTTGTCAGTGGCATGAGGACTTGAGCTAAAATCCTCAGAAATTAAGCCTAATGTAGAAGTAATCTATTGTGGACATAGCACTGACATTTTTCTCCTAGCACCTACCTGGAAAACATATCCTTTCTGCACACTTGATGCTTTGCTCTGATATTGCCAAGGTCCCCTCCCTGTGTGTTTTTATAGTGCCGACTGCTAACACCTCTCTGTCCTCTACAGCACAGACTGGTAGAGCACACTTTCACATTTCCCAGCTAGCTGAGCATCTTCAGGCCGTGCTCTGTCGGTCACTTAAGCCTTCAGGATGAAATGTCTGTCCTTCTGTGCCATGTTTCAGTATTATTTTCCCAGACGCACAGCCTCTTTCAGTGCCTAAAGACGTGAAGCATCCGGCCAGCAGAGGGCAGCCTCACACATACAGGCTTAATCCAAAAGCACAGACCTACAGGGCTGCAACTCAGGTGGCAAAGCACCAAGCTGAGGGGTTCCTATAAGCAGGCATGGGAGGCATGATTCCCACTGACCTCTTCTTCCTGTTTGCTGAGGTGATTGGGAGAATTGGGAAAATACGTCAAAGGGTGCCTTGCCCAGTTTCATTTGCTTTGCCCCTTCCTGCAGTGGTAGTTAGAAAAATTGCCGTTGCCCTAAGGTCCCGGTAAGTCCTGTGGCTATTGACTAAAATTCCATCCTTTAGTCCTGCGTCTCACATCTAAGAGCAGGACGCTTCTGCCCAGGCCAGAGGCTGCCGAGTCAGCCCCCTCTCCATGTAAGATGCTGGAATTTCTCTCCTCTTTTTAAAAATTTTCAGAATTTGTATGGTTATATAGTAAGTGAACACATTTCTGGAGTATACTGTGGAATTTCAAAGGACACACAATGCGATGACCAGATCAAGGGTGTCTGGCACATCTGTCACCTCGCACGCGTACATGAATTAATGCTGGGAATACTGCAAACCGTCGTTACTACGTGGTTTGAAATGCCAGATTCATTGTCAGCTCTATTTACTGACAGAGCTGCGGAGCACTGGACGCTCCTACTCCTCCAAGTGCAGCCTTATCTGGTAGCCACCTCCCTCCAACCCCATCGCCCTTCAGCCTTTGGAGAGCCTCACCCCGCCCACACTTCTAGCTGCTCATTCATTCGTGGGAACAGACCAGTTTTCTGCTGCCCTTAGCACAGGATAAGCGGCCCCCAGTCTGCTGATGTTTTCCCGCTCTGGTTCGTGGCTGCGAGCTTGCGTGCCACCGGCAGTTTTTAACTCAAATATGAGTATGAAGGATACGAGTTTCTTTGCATCTGCTTCTTCCAGGACCAAAGCCTTACTCGCTGCTCTCTTTCATATTCACAGACGAGGAGCCACAGCTCTGCTGCCTCCGCCAGCTCACCGCAACACTCCCTGGCAGACGGTCCTGCTGCTCCCCAACTCTTACTTGTTCATAACACGCTTTCCCCTGGTCCACATTCTGCATGTCCTCTGTGCAGCCCACAACACTGCTAGTGGATCACCTTCCTCAGAGACTCACGCCACATGGCACTTAGTCCCTGGTGCCCAGTTCTTCTGCCTGCCCTTCTCTTGAACTTATCTTATTAGGGGTTCCTTTTGAACCCTTCCCATTCTTTGGGAAATTTATGCTATGCCTAAGGCCTTCAATAAGTTGTACACAGCTGGTGACTACTTACTATCTACTGTGCAAGAGGCAATCCTTAAAGTCTGTCTTCACCCCAGCAAGCCTACTAAGGATTGAGTAATTCTGACACTTTAAAGACCTTTATTTTATGAAGTCTCTGACTTTGGTTCTCCTTTATGATTCTTAAAGTTTAATGCTACAAAAATGGCAAACTGTTAATAATTTTAACCAGGAGAAACGGAAGAGCAGGGAGTGGATCTGTGTTAAAAGAATTTCAATCCTGATTACTTTCTGAAAAATTTCCCCAACCTTCCCCTCACGTTTAAAACCATCTGTCAGTTTCACTCATGGGAACCGGGATTGTGACTCTTGGGAAGTAAAGGAAATTTCTCCCTTTACCTCCCCATTCCCTACTCTTCCCCGAAGCTCACCAGTTCTGCCCAGAACCTTCCTGCAAACCTGTGCCCTCCATTCTCTTCCTAAAGCCTCTGAGTCATTGGGTCCTAACCCAATGACACACTACATAGTTGGATTTCATTATGAAACCTACGAATGCAAAGTGTTTTCCCCTGTGTGCTGTGTCCTTATTTAAACCTTCCACGGATCACAGCTGTCTGCGAGTTCATGTCACAAGCTCTCCCTTCTGACTTTTCCCTAATGCTGCCCACTCCACATCTATCTACAGGGCACCATCTCGTGTGTAACACACTTCACGTCTACAGGGAACCTTCTGTGTGTAACACACTTCACGTCTACAGGGAACCATCTGTGTGTAACACACTTCACGTCTACAGGGAACCATCTGTGTGTAACACACTTCACATCTACAGGGAACTATCTCATGTATAACACACTTCTCATCTACAGGGAACCATCTGTGTGTAACACACTTCACGTCTACAGGGAACCATCTGTGTGTAACACACTTCACGTCTACAGGGAACCATCTGTGTGTAACACACTGCTCACTCCATATTTACAGGGCACCATCTTGTGTGTAACACAGTATTACAGCTTTGAGCACTCACTGTTTCTCTGCTCAATGTAAAATAAATGGGAAATGCCTTAAGAGAAAGAGCAGGTAATATTTATCTATTTCTAATGTTCAACATACTGTCTCACAAGAAAAGTGATCACTCAAGTTTTCACTGCATTCAAATGAATGTATGCATTACATGTTTATCATGTAATCTTTAAGAGCTGTATTTTAAAACACTACAATTTCAGGTATAATCATATGAGACTTATGTCATTATAATTATGATTTTACATTAAATATGATTCTTGTCCTAAATTTTACATTTTAAATGTTTTAAAGGTTTATTTCATATGAAGGAATGTTCTGTCTGCATGTATATAAATGCATCATTTTCATGACTGGTGCCTGGGGAGACTTCTGGAAGAGGGCATCAGATTCCCTGGAACTGCAGTCACAGATATTTATGAGCCACCAAGTGGGTGCTTGTAATATGGGTTCTCTACATGAGCAATAGGCACACTTAACCACAGAGCCATTTCTCCAGCCTTATGTTTTAATTTTTACAAATGATTTTCTACTCAGAAACTCCAGTGGAGAGGTAAAAATCTTAAGAGAGACGATCCTTTCATTATACCAGAAAGTGTTCGGAGACATAAATGAGCAGGGATCTTTGAGGTTTGACAGCCTTCAATATTCTAACCATACCTATTGGAAATTTTAGGTATTTATTAGTTTTCTCCTAAGTGTGTGTTGAGGAGCACGCATTTATAGCTTACTATGTACAAATCATCAAGGAAGACATAAATTCATTGTGTATGTTGTTGCTTAAAAAGTATCAATTCTTATTTTTAGTTTGTCTAATTAAAAAAAAGCTACATAATTCACATTGAGAATTCCGCTTAAATGTTTCTTGTACCTTAAAATATGGTATCCTGAAGCTACTGACTTGGGGGAGCAGCCAGATTTATAGGAAGATACATGGGGCGGGGGAGTGAGACTGCAACAGGACAAAGAGAAACAGAGCCCTTCACCACAGCTTGAAGTATACAAAAATTAGGCAGGAATCTTGATTCTACATTAAAAGATATGATTTTAAAATTTCCTTCAGTTAATGTATGCAGTTGGTTAAAAAGAAGTCTGGGTAACCTAAAAAGAAGGGAAGATCTTGTTACTATTTACTGGAGAAACCTATGACAAATTCTCAGGCATTCAGACATAATTTTCCCTGTACCACAAAGCTGGGAACTCACAAACACATAGCTTATCCTTCTGCTTGCATTTGCAGCCTTTCTTCTCAAAGCCTATGAAAATATGGGTGTACTTACCTCTCCTGGCCGGATTTTAATGTAAAAGTTGTTCCGTTTATATGAAATTTTTAGGACCTTGGGCCAAGCAAATCTGTTTATTCGAAGCCGGTCACGGTATATCAACAGACCACTTGCACAGACTCCTAACATAATTTCTACTCCCTCCGAATCCTGAAAGAAACAATGCATCAGTACTTCACTTATTTCCATTTTCTGCACGTTCAAGATTTAAGGTCTCCATGACAGAAGTTATAATTGACTAATTTAAATATGAAAAATACTGCTGCAATTTTTAAAACACCACTACTACATAATAGCATTTTAATGATGGTATTATTCACTATGGAGGGCTGATGAAGTTAAATCAATTCACTTGAGTACATGAGGCTTACAGCACTAACACTGCGCGCGCGCGCGCGCACACACACACACACACACACACACACACAATCCTGAGGCGTGGGGTCACCTGGTACCCTGATTTAAGAGTCTGTCCCCTTTGAATGTTTTATCCACCAAAATCTGTAAGATGGACTTCTGTGGTGACTTTGAAGGATAAAAGACCAGATGGCATCAGAATGTATGTGAGGCCCACCAGAGGCTTCACAAGCAGGTCCTGTCCAGAAAATAAGACACAGGACTCTGTTTGGCAGTTGTCATGGGCCTGCCAGCTTGGAGTCACTGTGTGGCACCAGAGAAGTGGAGAGGGAGTGATGGAAAAAACCATACAGGGGAATCTTGTTCTACATGGTGGGGGGTTTCTATGACCCTCACCATGAGCAAGAGAGCTGGATGTTCCCAGAATGAAAACTTTTTCACTCAAAAACATTAAATCTTGAAAAAGTACAATAGTTTAAAGTCAAATATTTTTTAACTTGGAAACATACTCTATTTGATATCAACTTATTCCATAAAGTGAAATGATTTGAAGTCAGTATTTTATATTATAATAAAACAAGGGGAAAAAAACCCTTACTGGTAGGGCTTTAATTCAAAGGTGCAACTTCAGAACTTACAACCTGATGTCCCCCCCCCCAAGCCACTGGTATTGATCCCCGAAAACCAGCCAGTCTGTCCCGATGGCCACTCAAAGGGGACTCTGCCTCGGCATAAACAGACAGGCCAGCAGGAGGAGGCACCACGTCAACAGCTGTTCTTTGAGTCATTTTCTTTGGAGATCAACAATTTTATGCCTTTGTCCAAAGAGGAAAAGGATATTTAAACCATTTTCATTATTATCTATATTCTCACCACTTATTATGGCAGTCCCCATAAAGAGAACAGTGCCCATCACACAGAGAAGGAAGGGACGGCCCACCCTTCCTCCTGTGCATTTACTGTGTGTGGCTCCTTTATCATCTCCACTTCTGGTAGCCAGTGTTGCTGAGACTAAGTCTCTCTGGACACTTAGCTGGCTAGAACTGCACTCTGCTTTGCCCCTGTAACTGGGCAGCACAGGGCCTGCCCAGTGGGTATCCAAGTCAACAAGTTTGTTGAGAGCAAAGGAGAATAAAAAATATGAAGTCTGTAGCTCATTAACTACAACAACAAAAGATATTTCTGTATCAAAATTTCTGCCATAGTCACAGACTGAGATAATCTCAAGGATCCTTGACATTGAAATTTCGGTTACCTTTCATGGGGCATTTTTCTACCGTGGCATTCATACATCTGCTGTGCTGGCACTGTAGACAGACCCGGGGTGGTCAGTTTGTCCTGATGAGGGCCAAGAGTTCTGCTATCCCTTGAAATCACTTACTCATTCATTCATTCATTCATTCATTTATTCATTTATTCATGCTTTCTTTCAGCATTGAGGATTTAAGCTGGGGCTTCACTCTACCACCAAACTACAGATGTCTGAGATCTTAATGTAGCTCTGGTGGCCTCAAACTCTCAATCTTCCGGCCTTTGCCACTGGAGTGCTCAGGTAACAGGTATATATCACCACACCTAGCCTGTCTCTTTATTCAAAGTCACTATTAAACTACTACCGTCCTTCAATATTTCATCCATAGGAACACACACACACACACACACACACACACACACACACACACACACACACACACACACACTTCATAATCTTACATCAAACAAATAGCTTTGACAAAACCTAGTTAAGATGGATATTGATAAACAAGTACATATAGATTTCCTAAAAGAAAACATGTTATTCAGGATAGGTTTCCCAAATACAAGATTATCATCATGTTTGGTTATTTACTCTTGAATCCAAGATCAAAATCCAGAATGTTTAAGGGGATCTTGAGCTCAAAGACACTTGTGCTGTCCACACGAGAAAAGCGTCTCACTGATGACCAGAAATTAGCACTAATTTAATTCAGTCAATTTCCTTCTTGAAACGATGGAGCTCGGCTTCATGAGAAAATGAAGTCTACAAATGAATCATTTGTTATACTTAATATTCAGATAAAAACCTATAACAGGATGCATTCTACTTCCGTAATTCATTATTCTTAATTGGAAAAATTTCAGATCATATTATTAAATAAAAAGCAGCCATCTATTTAAGTTCAGTGGGTACCTCGATGTTAAGTGGCTTGATTTTTTTCCTGGTAGCAATGATACATCCTGAGTGGCACTTCCCCAAAGGATGCGCTAATCTTTATGTCTAGGTAGTAAATGAATCACAGTGCATGACGTAACACAAAAGTCATGCCACATTCACTCAGATTATCTTTTCATGGTCATTTCTTCACCTTTTAGACAAATGGAGAAAACATGAAGAGAATTTAAAATAAAATCTCACTGTATATCCTTAGTTTCATTTTGAGGTCATTATCCAAATGTGTATCTCGAATAAAGTAGAAAAAAATGAGTGAAAAAGGAACCTACTGCTGTGATCACACACACTCACACACACTCACACACACACTCACACACACACACACACACACACACACCACACTCACACACACACACACACACACACACACACACACCTCAAGGAACTTGGCATTTACTCTACTGGCATACCACTGGCAGGAGCCCCAGCCACACCCACAGACATCTTAATAGTACACTGGACTTACAAGTGCTTCTCCTTGTGATGTTCGTGGTGAGCCAAAGACACCACCAATCAAACCACATAGACATCATCCATGAAATCTAGATGTCTATATTTTCCTGTCCAACCACACTGTAGATTTGCCTTGCTCCCCAAAATTCAACACAAGAGCTCCCCACTTATCAACAGGATTTAGAGAACACAGACTTCCTTCTTGTTTACCATGGTTGTTGAGATGTTTGCTTGAACTTGGCCAGCTGGAATTTTTTTTTTTATCTCTAGGGTTCACAATGGACTTTAAAAGATACTTGCTTCCTTGGAAGCCTGCAATTTCACATTCTTTTGAGTTCCAGACTGTGAAATTGGAGACATTTATTAGAGGTCAGATCTCCTTATTCCTATACAGGACTGATATTATCTTGTCAGTGTCAGCCAGAAGTAAACTACTCATGATCTTTAAGGACTGACCTTTTGAGCAAGGCTAAAATACAAGATTTCATCTCTAGAGTCCCAACAGATTTCACCTATTTTGTTGATAAATGTTTTAAGTGCTTCCCTGTATTTTAACAGCATGTTTGCTCACAGCTGTCTAAATAGTTGACTTGTAGTCATGGACTCATCCTCTCAATGTTGAGCAGGAAATTCTAGAAAAAGCATGACATAGAGAGTCAAAACAAGCCTATCCCCTACCACAATCAAAACCCTCCTGTGGTTTAATCTCAATTTCTTTCTTCCCAAGATGCATTTCAAACACTGTACTACTGCATCCATTACTAGTCTGTGAGGCAATCCCTGCCCTGAATGGCTACCCTTAGCTGCTGTACTTTTAAAGAAATCTTATCTCAAAGAACTGATTATATATGTCAGAGAGACTGAACCTTAGAGACAGAGGTCTTTAAATTTAACACAAACTCACTGAATGCTTAGTGGGGCTTTAAAACAGGGGCACAAACAGCACTTGACACATAGCAGATGTAACACTTGGCATTGGACAATTGGCCAACTTCAGACAAACAGACAGAGAAGAGTGGGATTGTCCAGATAAAGAGGGGAAGTTATGGTCAGGGAAAGAGCAGAAGCAGGGTATTGGGGGCACAGATGGCACATGCCAGCACAGAGTAGGAGATACAATTGTGTCAGGGAAGGCAGGGTGAGCTAGGGTACCTAGGTCAGGGTTAAGTTTACACTGGAACCAACATACAGCAGACACTTCATGTCTGGCTGTCTTCCATGGGGCATAGCCAAGGGCAGTGAGGTAAGTCTGAGCCACAAAGGGTACCTACCTCCCTACAGAGATGAGCACTATTTATTTTAATGTGGAAGGGGGGCTTCAGACATGACAGTTTGAAACACAGAAGTATTCATTTCCACCAAATGAAGTACAAACTCCAGCTTGTAGCCATAACGAAATCAAGTGGACTAGGGTGTGAAAATGCATACCTTGGCATGATGTAAATCTACCCCGTACATGGAGAGCTTTTTGGCATTTTCCAAGAAATGCATCTCTGCTTCTGCTGGCGTCATTCCTCTGATTAGAAAAAAAAAAGTGTTAATCTTTTCCAATCACTTAGAATTGAAAATCAAAAGCAATTAGCCACGTTTGCTCCCCTATGCCAGTCGGCGGCTTTCACTTTATCTGGTAGAGCTGCAAAGTCTCCCTTGTCACTCCTTCCCGTCCTGTAAGAAAGCCTTCATTGGGAAAGCAGCAGATACGGGTTTAAGCATCCCCCATTCAAAAATTCCAAAGCTGGAACTTTCCAAAAATCTGTATCTTCTGATACCCTGCGCAAGGCATTCTAAAGATACTGTACAAAGTCACCTTTGTACATGCACATTCATGTGTCATGTACAATTCGGAGGTCATGCACATTCGGTGTCTACAGAACGTAAATAAAGTTTCCTATTTAGACTCTTGCTTCATCCCAAAGATATGCTGTTACATTATACAACTATCCAGTATTCTGAAAACATATGAAATCCAAAACCTGTCTGCTCCCAAGCATGGTGGGAAAGACATTCTTAGCATGTACATGGAAAAATAACCACAAGACAGACAGCTTTGTAGGAAAATTCACATCCAGATGTCTGGATGTTCTTCTGAGAGGGAGTTTACCTACACCATCAATTTAACCATGTGTGGCCTCCGCCCCCCCCTCAGCCCCCTGTAATCAGAACTGGGCTGGAGGCCTGATGCTCTCGCTGCAAACTGCACCATGAATGCATACGGCTTTCTGAACCAACCTGTGGCTCTTGTGCAGCTCAACCACTTTTTCCTCCAGTTCCTTCGTGTGGTTTGGTGCAAAGCGGAACTCACTGATGTAGTCACTTCCACATTCATCGGGATCATAGTCTCCGAGCTCTGACTGCACAGTGTAGGAGCCCAGCAGGGCGAGAGTCACAAAGGAGCAGGGCAGCCTTCCAGACACTATGTCGTCGCGTAGCTGCAAGCAGAGGTAGTACCTTCCAGGAGCCGAAGGGACAAAGAGAAAGCTGGCATTAGGACACACTAAAAGGAGTTGGAAGGGGCGGTACAGGGTGAACATGTTCTAAAAACATGTATTCATGTGTGAGATTTCCGAGGAATTTTAAAAAAGGAGAGCATTTAGTATTCATAAACAATTTCTCCCAGACAGGTAAAATCTTTAAAGACACAACTTCATACTCTTAAAATGATTTCAACAATAATCAGTCTAGATAAGGAGCACTACCAGGCTACAGACAGTATTTAAGGAACCTAGAAGAAGGATCCATCAAGAGCAGAGTGAAAGACATTTAAAGATGTACTTTCCTAGCATTACACATTCTTGGAAATCAGTCGGGGTGAACTGTAATATAAAGGACGTTCTTGTACAAAACCACCAGACCCCATGCAGCCTTCAGGGAGGGCTCATTCCAAAATCTAGGTGACAGGTCTTTTCATTTGACCAAGCTGACCTCAGATAACCCAGTGGCTGTGTTTTAGGAACTCTATGTTCGGTGGCTGCATTTCTAAGAACAAATAATTTCTACTCTTTTTATCTCTTTTTAGTGGGATAACTTCCTGGAATTTAGCTGATACGAATTCCATAAAAATCTCCCACCTTGAAATCTGAGACTCTTGTCATTATAGGTGAATAGTTTTAAATAGGAGGAATATAAAGCATTTTCCAAATAGTTCTGCCATGATGTCATAAAGTAGCTACATCAGTAGCTGATCTATCTTCTGTCTGAGATTGATAACTAAGAAAATATAAAATAAAGATTATCAGATAAACACGGAGGGTAAGTGCCAATACCCATGACCTTTTATGCTCGTAGTCATCTACACTCTACTTGTGAGAGAGGTCTGCAGGTCTTCTGGAAGCCAGTTCAGCCACCAATAGAAGAGAAGTCTGTGTAATTCAAATATTAAACTTACACATCACACAGGTTCTGCAGACACTACACAATAGACAGGAACTGTGCGCGCATTTATAAGTCTAAGGTGTATAACCACAAAATTAATCATTACTAATAATTTAATTCTGGGCAGAAGTGTCTTTAAATAGGCAAAATACAAATTTTCTCCGATTTCCTGAAAATATAAAAATAACCCCTCTGGAACTAATTGTTAACTCCTTCTCAAAGTTTTTGGTAAAACTGTTTTTCAATGCAGCAAGTGGAAGGCACTGTTTCAAGTAATTTCTTTGAAAATCCTCCCAATAGGGCATGAGGCTTACAAAGAAAATCACGCACTCACAAGACACACAGAAAAATCACCCACATACAAGACTAAGTCACTTTGCTCATAATCTCACTACCAAACACAGTGAGGGTTGGGGCTTCCAAAGTGCAAGGTGGGAGCATCCACAAGGGATGTGAGTGGAGAAGGACGGTCCTGGACGTTTGTGTCCCCGCTTCTACCCCTGAATCCAAATTCAGAAATGCTAGCCCGGCCCAGTATGATGATGGGTCGGGAGGCGGGATCATTGAGAGATGATCTGATCCAGATTGTAGAGCCTGCAGAAATGCAATCAGTGGTTTTAGAAAGGCTACAGGGTGGCGGCTCTTCAGGGATGACACAGTAATAAGCAGGTGGCCTGTCACCCTGAAACAGACCCTTATGGGGACTCTCACAGAGATAGGATCTGGCAACTCCTGATGTCTCATGTTTATGTTTATTCAGTTGCCTTTTGTTTGCCATTGGAGGGGCAGTGACTGTAAGGACCAGACATATGCGTGCTCTTCCCAGAGCACTCAAGAGATGTGTCGGTCTCCCAGCGTGCCCACATTTCCCACTCAAATACCTGGTGATGTCTTCTGATAGCTGGGCAGGGTCTGGTGGGTAAAATTTCACATTAAATGAAAAATGCCAAGCACCACCTGTAGGGTAGGACACACATCAGAACAAATCCTTAGGAAACTACAAGCAACAAAATTATTAATTAGTTCTTAATTCAATTTCCAAGTGCCTCAACTCCAGGTGTTAACACCAGACACCCTTTGATCACTATTAACTGAACTCTATAATTTCAGGTCCCCAGTCAAGTCATTTACTGGCACCTTTCAAAAAGCAAGGGAATTTACCAAATTTTTTTCCTTTTCTGAAGATTAAGAGACAGGTGTAAACCTGTAGCAGATAACTGGAATTGGCTAGATTTACTGCTATGAATTTCTTGATAGGTCGCATGCCAACAGCACAGACAGAACTCCCATCTTCTAGGTCCTTTCTGCTCTGTTATTGCAGGTCAAATCCCGTTACGATAAATGTCAAGGGACTAATGCATATCTATTAATTTTACTGGAAAGGTTTGTCATGTTGAATATTGCTTTCAATAGATGGGCCGATCTGTGTGCTGCCGAGGATTCCTTTCTTGCAGTTTCGATGCAGTGGTTATCTGAATGCATCCAAGGAACACCCAACCCCCACCCACAACTCACATGGGTCTTCTTTATGCTATACCATGCTTTGCCTATGGCATCTTTTAAGTTCTCGGCAGCAGTACTAGAGTCAGGCAGACACTAGCCACTCCATTCTCCACACTGTCTCTACTTGTCTAACCTGAATGCATTTCCCAGTGTTGTGGTTCAGATTTAAAATGGTCCCTAGAGGCTTACGTTGAAGGCTTGGTCCTCAGGGAAGCTGTGCTCAAGCGGGACCTCTGTTGTGACCATGAGTGGATTAATCCAGTTATAGATTCATAGTTTCATGGGTGTTAGAGGAGGGGCGTTGTGATAAAGATGCATACACCCTCAGTCCAGGCAGCTTCCAGTGTCACCCTCTCTCTGCTGCAACACAAGCCAAGTCACAGGCCCAGGAGCAAATGAGCCAAGTGACCTCAGAACCCTGGGCTAAAGCAAACCATTTCTCTTTTACGGTGTCTCTCGTGAGTCTTACTAATGTTAGACGCTGTCCGGCACACCGAGCCCCACATCTCAGGAACGGAGTGACGGTATTTTTCAATATAAATGTGAAGCAGAAGCACATTCATTTTCTTCTTTTCTGTACTTTTTTCTTCTGTTTTAAGAAATAATCTTCGTTTCTCTTACTCGCCTTGTTCATTTCTCTTGGCTTTAGAATACAGCGACTGATCGACTCCTGGGCATTCCTTCTCTGTGAAACTGCATCACTTCAATAGCACACTAATGGTTCCTTGGCATCTGGGAATGGAAGTTTGCTTCCATCCTCGCCACAGGCTTGCTCTCGTCTGTGTGTCTGTGACCCCCGGAAGGGCTCTACTTGCCCAGTCCTCTCCACATCCTCCTGCTATGCTTCCTCTGCCTGTGAGATGACTTTTGGGGACTCTGTGCTTTCCACAGCCACCCCAAACACTCTGGACAAAGGAGCACCGCTACCCACATTTACACATGTGGCAATGCTTGGCTTTGTTGGTTTCTACATCTCTGTTACCAACACCACAGCACCACTTTCACCTTCTAGCTTATTCTCCGAACTACCATCTACCTCACACGTAAGATTCTATGTGCCAAAGAGTGAGCATCTCACCAGCTATTACTGGTACTTCATATCATTTTCAAGCCATTCAAAACACGAAGGCAACATGGTCTTTAAGAATTATAAGCCATAAATATCTGCCATTCAAATGTATTTTTAGGGATCATTTTTTCTACTGCTCCAAAAAATGCCTTTTTTTTTTGTTACATTACAAAGTCTTCCTTTTTTTTGTTCCTATTGATTCTGGCTCAGTTCTTATTAAAAACAGACCCCTTTTGGTGTCTGCCAATAGCGAGCTGGTTAACAGGAGCTGGCTTTACAGCAAGCAAGTGGTACTCAAACCAACGGGCGGTGGGGGGTTCACTGTTCTTTCATAACTTTCATCTACTTCAAGGAAGCCTTGATTCCAATGGCAAGTTCTGTGGTACAATTAAACCATTTTATAATAAACGAGACTGACAACTCAAAGCTGGAAGCTAACCAGTAGAAAGTAGAAGCAATGAATTTCAACACAAAAAACCTCATCCTACAAATCAGTTTGCAAATGACAGTGAGCTTAAATGTACTGGAAGAGTTTCGAGAAATGAAAGTTTCTGAGCTTTATCCCAGAGGTTTTCATTCCTGAGACCTAGAGTACCGTGCTGACCCTCTGGTTTTTAGTAAGCACCCCTGTGGTCCCAGTACGGGAGGGGTGTGTGTGTGTGTTCGCAGCATTACTTCCGTGACCGCCATTACAAAGGGGTCAAATTCTTTCCTGGAATAGCTACCAAGTCTTGCAGGGCATTTCCAAAGGGGCGGGAATTTCAAGGAGACAATAATACAATCTAAACAATTAAGGCTCCAAACAAAAAGCCAGTGAAATGTGACATTTTAATGAAAAAGAGAAATTTAGAGAAGGGGGAGAGAGGGTGGGGGGTGGCACAGGGGAGGAAGCAACAAACAGATAGTCTGGGGAGAGGGGCGTGTTCATAAGAGCAGAAAGCCCCGCCTCAGCTCAGAGGATGGCCTGGTGGGAAACAGGAGGTGGCATGGCTCCAGCACACTGAGGTAAATATCCCAGTACACCCTGCTGCATTTCACATTATAAAATTGGGATAAATGGAAAACTGTCCCATGAAAAGCTTCCCATGTTAATCTTCAATGCTTGACAGATCTTAGAATTCTACAGCGTTTTGATATCATAAATGACTATATGCCATATTCTTCCTATGTGCCATAAATTACCTTATTATAAATATGCTACTCACATATGTGGCAGACTGTGAGGTTTTATGACCTGTCGTGGCTTTATAAAACACACATGAACAGGAACGCATTCCTAAGAACAAAATCTCCAGTGTCGGAATTTACATAAGTTTGTGACTTGTGTTCATTAGCTTGATCTCCATTCTCTGAGAGGTCTCATTCTACCAATGTGGCGTGCACTAGCCAGTACAGACTATTTAAAAAAAATGTATTAAACTTAGGAAATCTTCACTGACCCGAATAAGTGAAAAACGATGTCTCATTTTAATTGCATCTAATCATGAGATTTAGCAACACGCTTAATATCATTAGCTCTTTATACTCCGGGTTTGTGATCTGCTCATGGAATGATCTTGTCATTTAGGAGGCAGACACTTACTTCTTTGTTGTTGATCAAGTTCTATCTCTTTGCCTTTGTGATCCCCCTGCCTCAGCCTCCTCCAGGTTGGGATTTACAAACACGTGCCACCAAGCCTAGTGGAAATGTGTATCTCTTGTCTTTAGGGGGTGAGGAAAGGTTTCCCACAACAACAGGCCACTGATTTGTTATCCACTTTCAAAGCCATCAGATGGTTAATTTTACTGTGGCTTCTGAACACTGGCAGCAATTTTAACATTAATAATTAAGTCTGGAACTTTAAATGATTAAGTGTAGCAAAACTTGATTAAACTGCATTTCACATCTGTGTACAGGCAAGGACCAGGTCACCTGTCAAAGTCATTTTAATTTCTGGGTTGTGATGGCAAACACAAGTCCTATTGGAGCAAGAGCCATGTGTCAGGTCCAATTTCAGCTTACAATCTGTCTTTGAACAATTTCTTCTTCATGTGAGCCACTCGAGGGTGGATTACCAACACCCTGCCTTCACACTGTCACCAGGGCCACATCAAAGAATCCAAAGGAACTTACTTCGAATCTGTTTTTTAATTTCCTTAGCGGGGTCCAACCAATTCTGAAAGAGAAACAACGTATGAGTTTGAATCATAGCAGAGTAAAATCTAGTCTGATGACATCCACTAACATGCTGGACAGCAAACGTTACCCTCAGAGCCTAATTGTTTTTGTCACAGCTGCAATTTCTTCACGGAATTTGGGCGTATGAATAAGTTTTCCACATAAGAATTTAAATATTTCGTTCTCATGGGATCAAGAAATAGGTTTAACTATATTACGAGAAAGAGCCCCATATCAAATGTTTTCTTAGCTCTAAATATCAAGGATGAAAACTGAAACTAGTCTACTCTCTCAAACATATCCAAGGATACAAGGAAGTTTCTTCATCAAGGATTTTCTTCATCAAGAAAAAGGTTAATGACACCTAGGGACCCAAAGGTGTGCTGGGGCATGGGACAGAGGTATTCATAGAGAATGCCATCTGTCTGGTTGGTTTCGGGTCACTTCTATACGGTAATAGACAATCCAGCCATAGTGGTTCATATTTCTTGGACCTCTCACCTTCTGATTTTCAGCATCTCGATACGTGAGACCAAAATAATCCTTTTCTAGCAGGTTCAGATGCTCGCACACTTTGTCAAACAGCACTTGTCCTCGGGAGCGTTTCTGTGCAAAACAGGACAGGAAAGCAAGTCAAGACACTAGAAAACCTCTCCCAGGAGATTAAAATGAAACAAACAGGGCAAAGTGCAGAATGCAGATTGCTGATACTGGTCAGGGAGTGATGGACACAGTAGGGCATGTCTGTCACCCCAGTTCAGTTTGCAAACATCTAGTGATATTGACTTAAACATTGATATCCACTCACATACAGGACAACAAATGTTATCCTCACAGCCTAAGTTTTTTTGTCACAGCTGTAATTTCTTCACAGAATTTGGGGGTATGAATAAGTTTACCACATAGGAATCTAAGTTTTTGGTTCTTATGGGCTCAAGAAATTTGTTTAACTATATTATGAGATGTCATGATTTCTCCACCAATAACCTGTGCCCTCAAACTATGAATCTCTTCTTCCTTTTAAGTTGCCTTTGTCATACAATGAGACAAATAACTAACATTCCCTGTATCAGAAAGGTGGATTTCTGGCCTTGAAACCCAGAACCATGCTTTTATTGTACACACACACACACACACACACGCACACGCACACGCACACGCACACGCACAGGGGGGGGGGAGAGATATTCTCATCCTATAAAAGTTACCTCTAAAATTGAATATACAAAAGAAACCCTCCAAAACAACAACAACAACAACAAGAACAACAACAAACCAACCCAAATGTCAATAGTGTCACCCTAGAAGGATGGTGACTGGGGGAGGACTCTTAAGAAGTAACTGGAGAAAGACTGTGACCCTACTTTCAAATACTCTGTGAAATATAAAACACCTGAGGATGTAAGTGAGCACACAGAACTCACAATGCCATGCTCAAAATGTCCAGATTCAGCTCTTGAATCAAACCCTAAGACTCCTAGCCTGGGGAAGACTCGGTAGCCACCAGCCTGGGTCTAACCACTTCAAACTCTATCACAATCCGTACTCGAGTCCCACAGGTTATTCTCCTCTACACTATAGTCATTTGTTTAGTTTTGTAATTTTTGTCATGACTTTTGGCCTTGTACAACAGTGTTCAACATCCTCTTGACTTCTTAGAGAGGAAATGAACATAACAAGACAAAGATAAGGAGACACTCATTAAGTTATAAGAGGACAGTTAGGTCATACAGATATACGGTGCAGACATACATGCTACGTTTGAATCCTCAAGCCATACATCTGGAGAAAGGGGATAAAGTTAACCAACTGGGGAAAATATGCACCAGCTGAATCCATTGTGATAATTTTCTGTCAATTCTCATGTAACACTTCCAACACCTTTAAACATAGCCTTGGAGTCTGCAGTGTATTAACTGCCAACAATTAAGCTAAATTACTTTCCTGTTCTGTGGCATTGGTATTTCACACGCAATATGTTAAGCATACTTATATTTGAGATTCAGTGTATTAACAATGAGATAAAAGAAAATGGAAAACTATGTCCGTGACAAAATAATAACCATGCAAAGACCTGTGAGTGGGGCATGTTACTATGCGTTTTGTAATTACCCTGAAAGGTAATTGCTTGGTCCTTCCACAGCATGAATGTTTGAGGAAAAGGATGAACTATGATGGGGAAGTAAAGTGGAATTCACGGCAACCTACGTAAGCAATCGTGTGCTCTGTGATGTTATAAAAATAAGTGACTTGTTAACAAACAGCAACAAACTGCAAGAAGCGGCTCAGAAAACGAGAGAAAGGAAATGCTGCTAGCTGGTTTAAACCTCTTGCTTATAAATTATAGTGTTTCTGAATCACGATGGAAACACTGGGAAGTTTGCACATTGACTTAACTGGTTCTTCCAACGCCTATGTCCTGCTTGGAGTACAGAACAGAGGTGCAGAGAAACAAGACAGAGAAGACCAGCATTATGCTAATGACCCCTGGCAGCTCTTCAGGATCAGAAAAAAACACCTGGGCTGGATCTTCTATGTGCCCCTTGCAGCTCTGTGAACCTGGGCATTTTCTTTGGTGAAATTATCGAAGTCTGTCAGATCAAACATCATCTTTTGCTTCAGGGGCTGGGTGGCAGTTATGCATGGAAGTGGCTCAACCCAGGCAGAAATGAGGAGAGCAGTTTGTGTCTGAGAGCAACAGGACCGGGAGTCACACTAGGTGTGCATGCCCTCAGAGAGTGTGTTTACATTTCTGCACACAACCCCACTGAAAGTTAAAAACCACCACCACTCCTGCCACCACCATCTCTGCCACCACCCCCCCAAACACACACACATAAAAACCAAACAAACCAAACCTATGGTAGCTTAGCCGCAAGCCCCGTGTTCATATAAAGTTTGTAGAGCTGCAACACTGATGATGTCCAGGAAAATGGGTGCTCTTGTTCCCTTTCATCTACCATGAAACCAGAAGACGCCTCCACTGCACAGGCCCCACCCACTCTTCCTTCAGCAGACCACCAGTTTTCATCTGGACGGTCCCCTCACTGGTGACTGCAGCACTCACTCTGCATTTGCACTTCTACTGCCCAAGGATGAGAAATAGCTCCCTTTTCCTACTGCCCCAGAGGAGACTGCTGCTGGCTGAATTCGAAGGGAGAATTCCCGCTCGCATTACCTTCGATTAATCTTATGGCAAAATGCCACCTTTAAAAAAAAAAAGGTCTCCCTCAGTGCTTTCCTTTCCTAATTACATTTTCCTCATTGGGTGCTTCTTCTGTATCTTCCTAGTTTCCAAGGGTCATCTGAAACGTCATTTCTAAGGGATTGCATTACTACTTCCCTTGGGCCCAGGGGCTCATGAAGAACGCAATAAGCTCGGTCAGACCAGCACCCCTGTTCATCATCGTCCCCGATGCTCCTTCTCTATACAGGCTCTTGACCGAAAGGCATCCTAACAGTGTCTGCTCTGAGAGTGGGTTTGCTTTTCATACACAGGAAAAAACAAGAGGCTGCATCAGAGCAGGAACAAACCACGGTGGTACCTGGACAAAGGAATCCACAAGATCTCTAAAACCAGCTGGAGTCAGAAACCCTGGGAAGCAAGATGTGACACCAGCTGCCCTGAATGCATCTACATCACTTCATGCTTTCGGTCTCAAGTGCACACTCCAGGCCACATTCAATAAGCATGGTAGAAAGTCCATTACCCCAGCACTCCTGCCCTCCACTGCCATTCCCACAGGACCGGGGCATAATGGTGTATTCTAGTGGGGTACAGGCTGCATATTCACAGAGGGCTGACATGAGAGGCAGAAATTAAATCTGGAGAGGGCACATGGGTCCACCTCCAGCCCCTTGCTTTAATTTTATGGGCAATCAGCTCTCACCCCAAAAAACTCACAACAGTTCTTTCAAACATGAAGCAATCAATTAACCAATAACTATCTCATCATTTTCTTGCTTAGTGAAGTTAGCTATGGCTACCTGGAGTGTCCTGTTAAAATAGAAATATGGAATTATTTCCACGCCCTGATAAGTTTTTGGGAAAATAGTTAATATTTGCCTTAATTACATGTCTAAACCAACTACAAGTTAGAATTCACCCAACATTATCTAAATCCCTTTAAGATAGGTATCTAAAGCTTATTTTTACATTTTACTGTAACATATTATTAGACAGTCCCAGTCTAGACTCTGGTGCAGTTACCTAACTATGTGCTATGAAAGAAGCTACCCGATCTCTCTGGGTTTTGCTCTCTCCGTTATAAAATGGAATGTGATTGGTACTCAACACGTATGAAATAAGGAGACACACAGAAAAGTATACTGCATAAGTCATGGCAAGCAGAAGGCAGCAAGTATTGGTAACCATTACTAGTAATTATCTAGTAATTACTAGTCAGACACAACTTAGACCTGAATCACGTCTGAGGCCTCCCTCTAATAGCTCATTCTGCATAATGAACTTGGAGGGGTTTTTTGCTATAAGAAATAGTTTCCTGATGACACAAACCAACCAACAAACAGACAAAACCCACACTTACACCCAGATGATAATTCCTAATTTCAAATTAAGGAAATCAACACAGTTTCTAATCCTGAAAGTCATAAAACTAAAGTACTATTAAATGTCTATTTCTTATATAACAAATTCACACACACACACAAAAACAACCCCAACATTATTCTACTTTTATGACTCACACACTCATACCTGCCAGAGAGGTAAAACGATTAAATTCTTTGAAAAAAAAAAAAAACAGCATTACCATTGGGCGACACAAGTACATACTGAGTCTTTTACCAACATGCACAGAATGGTTTTGAATATGTATTGGGGGTAGACTGGCACATTCTGTTATCTCTTAGGCCAAAACATAAGAAGGGCACATATCGTCATGGTTACAGCCTATAGCAATGTCAAAACAGTAACGAGTGATGAGAATGCATTACCATCCCCCTCCCCCGCCCCGTGTTTTTGACAAGATTCAAGGCAGAGCTACTTCCAGCACATGCATCATCCAAGCCCCTCTTGTCATCAAGGCTCCGTGGACCCGATCTCTTTTTCGGAGGGTTGCCTTTCTCTTTCATCCGTAATTGGTTTTTGCCCTCATTTGTTGTAGCAATTGGAGCCTGTGTTTGAAATCAGACTTTTGTGTTTAGAGTTGGGCACCGTGGTAGATAATGGTTTTGAGTGGGGCATGCTTCTTCTTGGCCAGCGAGAACACTTGGCTTGGCTTTTCACAAAGACTTTCGCAGCACACATATGAGACGCAGGCAGCAGACTGCCAGACAGTATTTCCTGTTGTTAATCTGCTGTGGATTCAGGTCACTATGCCAATGTGTGCAGGATGAATGCTGAAAAGGCAGCCTGAGAACGAGGAACTTGTGTGAGAGAGACACAACTTAGACCTGAATCACGTCTGAGGCCTCCCTCTAATAGCTCATTCTGCATAATGAACTTGGAGGGGTTTTTTGCTATAAGAAATAGTTTCCTGATGACCCAAACCAACCAACAAACAGACAAGACCCACACTTACACCCAGATGATAATTCCTAATTCATTGATTTACTTGGCCAAATAAAGAGTCATAGGGAATGGA